TACCAAGTTACACTCCGTCTGGAACATGTCCAGCGTCGGTAACAGCGCATACCCATACATGGCCTGCGACATCTGGCGCGAGTACTCCAGGTATATCTCCTGCGCGGCCGTCTGCATCTCGAGAATCTGGTAGTACGTACATCATGCCCATGTCAGCGTAGAAACGGCACCACACAGCGCAAGCGAAGCGCACCTCCGACGCATCCTCACCCAGGTCTTCCAGGGCTCGGTCGATCTCCTGTTCCGTCGACGACGGCCCGGCCACAGCTTGACTACTTGACGAAGCCATTGTGAGCAGTGCGCGGTAGTACTGTCAAGCAAACCCTGTGAAGTGCGCAGACGCGGATGAGGGGAAAAGATCAGAGAGAGCACAGCGCACCTTCCAGGGACCCACGAGCATCACGCAGCATGGCCACCATGAGCTCGGAAAGGGGACCGCGAGGCCGCGCGCGTGATGATGCCGAACGCGCGGTTTTCTGGAAAGCAGGGACACATCAGAAAACTCGCAAATGTTCCAGTCGGACGCAACATAGACCGCACCGCGCACACGTGCAAAAACCCCAGAGAGTACGGGGCGCACTCAATAAACATCGATCTGGGGGATGTCGCGCGATCGCGCGAGATCCCTTTTTGGGCCGTCCTGACATTCACACCTCAACATATGCGCGCACAGGGGGTAGGAGTACTACTACATGAAGATCGACAGCGCAGCGCACGACGCACTGATTTACCGACATCAAACGCTGCCTCCACCGCAAGGCTCGGCTGATGCAACACGAGGCCGACATGGCGCACCGCGCAAACTCGCCGCTTCATTCTCATTACCAAAACGCGAAGCGACTCCCATGTTGCTCGCACTTCATCATCGCGCTCACACTTCATCATTGCATTCGCACCTCATCATCGCGTTCGCACCTCATCATCGCGCTCGCACTTGCACAGTAGCTGATCGACGATCCCTGCAGATCCTCGTGCCGAAGTTGCGCCTGCCAATCGGTAAGATTCAATTATGTTCGGACCGCACCGAGGTCAGCAGATCAAGATAGAGCGCTTCTCGATCAATCGGCGATTGGCCGATCGCGTCGCCGCTACGTGGGAGCCGCGACCACCGAGCGTCTCGGACTTAGGACAGCGCGCGGCACTTGACTCTGTCGCTCCCCCTTCCTTCTTTCATCTGGCAACCCCTCCTACAACATGGTCGGCACCCTGACTTTCCAAAACCTTAGCGCGACCTTGAAGAAGTTCCACAAGGACACCGGACTCGCAGCGGCTGGCAAGCGACCCGTCACCCCATTCTTCTGCGAGGATCCGCCGGACGCACTGGAATGGCAACCCGAGGAGATGAAAGCGCTGAATAAGCTGATCAAGGCGTTCGTCGACGAGCGGTGGACTCTCCAGGCCGTCGAGGTCGTCATCCAGGACCACATCATCGTGCGTGAACCACAGGCCCATCGAGCGCCGCCCTGACTGACATGATTCCACAGACCGATGACTGGTTCACAGTCCTCGAGAATGTATCCATCACCCGGCTGCCTTATGTCGAGGCGGCCATGCAGTATGTGAGGTCTACCCGCGAAGGCGAGGTGCGCACTCTCCAGCGCGTCCTCATCGACATGAAAATCGAAGCTGTCCCTTCAACCATCACCGACGACTTCACCATGCCCCACCTCAACATCTTTATGCCATGGATAGGTAAGTCGTCCCAATTGACGCATTTCGCGCAACTAGCTCATCACACGTTGATTCACAGCCGGTGATCGGTTGAGGAGTGAGTAGCGCATAGTAGCACTCATCTATGGGCTAACATGCGTGTGTGTGCAGTTTCCAACGTCCTTGAGCCCGACAGTGATCGCAGCGTCTCACCGGAGTCCGACCGCCCCGACAGCCCTGCGCGCAACAGCGCCGCTCCGGATGAGGGGGAGGCAGTGGACGCGCAGGTCGAGGATGTGCTGGGCGACGACGCGCAGCTTGAGGATGCGACGGGCGGTGACGCGCAGGTCGAGGACGCGCCGGGCGAGGATGCGGATGGGGCAAAGGACGCGCTGGGCGACGACGCGCAGGTCGAGGACGTGCTGGGCGACGACGCGCAGCTTGAGGATGCGACGGGCGGTGACGCGCTGGTCGAGGACGCGCCGGGCGAGACTGAACCGGGCGAGGACGGTGAGGACCGCGATGACCGCAACGACGACGACGAGGCGACCGGTGAATACCTCGCACGACGTGCAAGCCCCGCCACGACTGACATCCATGCAGCCCGCCTGCAACACCACCCGTATGCGCAACGCGCACGCGAGGCCAACGAGGCGCGGGAGCGTGAAGACCGACCCGCCCTGCCCCATACGAGCGCGTCGCCTGTTGACGGCAAGGTCGAGGTCGAGGCGGCAGATGAGAGCGAGGTCGAGGTGGAGGAGGCAGATGAGAGCGAGGTCGAGGTGGAGGAGGCAGACGAGCTCGTCGACAGCGAGGACGACGAATCGCCGACCTGGACCCAAGGGCAAGGGGAAGGCCCGAGGGGGAAAACGCATCAGCAGCAATTCGGCGCGGAAGGCACGGGCAGCAGGCAAGGGCAAGGCGTCGGCCGTGCCCAAGCGTGAGGACCCGGAGGTGGACAACTCTGCGCCCAAGTGGGAAGGGCAGTGGACCCTTCTCATGCCCGCAACTGAGAAGAACGACAACGTGCACGCGAAGGTGAGTTTCTGTTACGACAACACGTACTTCGCTAACTCTCTTACAGTTCATGGGCAAGTGGCGATGTGCGCAGTGCAAGAAGAGAGGCGCCACCGAATGCGTCATCCGCGGCCTCGGACGCAGGTGCGTCGCCTGCATCACCGGGCATAGATCTCCATGCGACATTAAGGTAAGTACAAACCTCTCTGCAAAACCGTTTAGGACACTGATTAAAGACTATGAAGACCTACTACGAAGCAGAGGCCGTCTACGTGAACGACCAGAAACACGGTCGATACGCTGACCTTCCCCCCGCGCGCTCGACCACTGCCCCCACGACCTCAAAGATCAACCCGCGCAAGCGGATGGCGGTCTCTTCGAGCGAAGAAATGTCGGACAGCCCGGGCGAGGACGACATCGTAAGTCGCACTCCACAAAGCGGCAAGGCGAAGACGGCTGCGAAGCCCAAGACGAAGGTCGCCGCACCCGTCTCCAGGACGTCGGCGAAATCGGCGACGGCCACGCCGAACAAGCGCAAGAAAGTCGACGCCACGCCGGAGGCCAAGCCGTCATCGGCGAAGATATCGGCGCGCGCATCAAAGCCTGGGCCGTCCCAGAAGACGGCCGACAACAAGAGCACGCGCGCCGAGGCAAGGGAGACGATAACCATCGACTCTGACTCCGAGGATGACCAGCCCCTACGCGCCTTAGTTGCCGGTGCGGCGAGCAGCCCCGACGCTCCCGAAGACGCGATGGATATCGATGAGCCGCAGGTCGTCGACGGCAAAGGGAAGAGTAGGGCGGGCGACCTTGGGCAGCTGCCCGAGGCGGTCCAGAACGACAGCGAGCCAGACGACCACGGTTCCCCGTGGCACGGCGATCGGAACGCGGTAGTGACGATGGGCTGGCTCGGTACGCGGTGGAAGGAGCTGATGGAGCAGATCCGGGACCGCATCGAGGACGAGGTGGAGAGCGCGGTGGGCTACCACGTATGTATCCGCCTTGCACTCATTATCATTCCACTAACGATGCTCTCACACAAGATTGCGAAGATGCAAGCTGCGTCCAGCAAGCCGCAGGTCCCAGCTCACCAACCGCCCGAGGACCTGGTGCGCCGGCCGGGGTGGTACCCCAAATACGACGGGCCGAGGCCTACGCCCATTAACAACCTGAAGACCGAAATGCTCGCGTCGAGGACCTCGAACGCGGCTGCTCCCTCTTCCTCGAGCGGCGCTGCGCGGTCGTCCTCAAATCCCACAGCGTCGAGTTCTAGGAACGCCGCAGCGTCATCGTCAAAGGACGACATGGCCGCATTCGCGCCCGACACCCCGACCCCGAAGCAACGCGGCGGCGGCTCGACAGCTTCAGCGTCGCGCAAGACCACGGGTGCCAAAAAGGCGGTCCACAAGGACTAGGACAGCTCGCGATGTGTGATTGTACGGACAAGGTTGGTCTTGATAGTATGTACATACACAAACGCCGTGTCTTGCTGGGCTGCGTCCCATGTCTTCTGGTCTCTAACGCTATCGCACCGTGTCGCGTGTCGTCAGCGCATATCTTGTCATACTCGTATTGTTCTCGCTCGCTCGTCGTCGCTGCCGTGTACCCAGGTCGTACTGTATCATACTGTTGCAATGTCATAACGTGTACCATGTCAGCTGGCGTGCCCCGTGTATATGGATGTCAGGGGATCTCGCGCGGGTGCGCAGGATCCCCTGGAACGTCCTCAGTACATGGTGCGGCGCATACATACGGGTCTGAGGGGATCTCGCGCGGGTGCGCAGGATCCCCTGAGACGTCCTCAGTGCGTGGTGCGACATACAATATGGCTGTCAGGGGATCTCGCGCGGGTGCGCAGGATCCCCTGAGACGTCCTCAGTGCGTGGTGCGACACATACATATGGCTGTCAGGGGATCTCGCGCGGGTGCGCAGGATCCCCTGAGACGTCCTCAGTGCGTGGTGCAACATACACATATGACTGTCAGGGGATCTCGCGCGGGTGCGCAGGATCCCCTGAGACGTCCTCAGTGCGTGGTGCAACATACACATATGACTGTCAGGGGATCTCGCGCGGGTGCGCAGGATCCCCTGTGACACCTTGCGTGCGTGGTAAGACATACAATATGTGTCTGAGGGGATCTCGCGCAGGTGCGCAGGATCCCCTGTGACGTCTTGCGTGTGTGGTGCGACACATACATATGACTGTCAGGGGATCTCGCGCGGGTGCGCAGGATCCCCTAGGACGTCCTCAGTGCGTGGTGCGACATACAATATGGCTGTCAGGGGATCTCGCGCGGGTGCGCAGGATCCCCTGGGACGTCCTCGGTACATGGTGCAACATACACATATGGCCGCCGTGGTACGCTGACGCGACACTGCATTGCGTTATGCGCGGTGCGGAGAAGTCCCTTCGATTGTGGTATACCAAACGCATCAGCCACTGCCCAAGATAGACGGATACTCTATGCTACATGTTCAAGACAATACTCTGTACTACAGTTGTCTACTTCCGAGCACGCTTCGCCTTCTTCTGCTTGTCTCGCGACCCTTGGGATTTGCGCTTGCGACCACCGGAAGGACCGGGCACGGAATCTACAAAGAGCTTGAGTTTGACAGCAGCTGCGGGGAGGACAACTTACCAGCAGACGCGTTCGTCAACGCCGCGGACTTGTTAGACTCAGAGACCACGCTTTCCGAGCCTGACCTTTGGGAACGCTGACTAGGGTCCGGTGTCGCCTCACGAGAGTCCGAGTCATCTTCTAGCGACTGTTTCTTGAGCGCATCCATAGTTTTGCCCTGTATGATTCTATGAGTACCCCGTAACCGTGCGAGGACAGGATGCGCACCTTATGCTCGCATCCAAGCTTGTGTACGCGGCATGCCACGCACCTAGGCTTTCCGCCATCTTGCGGGACACGGCACTCAAGGTAACGCTTTTTGATGCATTGCGCGCACATGCCGGGACCGCAAATCTGGCCGTCCAGCACATGAGCGTTGTAAGGAGCAGATCAAGAGAAACTCACCACAATGTCGCCCGCGGGCGGAGGCAGTTTTGCAGGCCGCGCAACCGACGCTCCAACTTGGAGCGGTTCATCCATCCTTTCAGGCGCCCAACCTCGCGCTTGCAGGTTCAGGTACAGCTCCTTCGATTGCGCTGCTGCAAGCCGCTCCGCGTCAGTGACAGCCTCATCCCTCACTCGGTACACGGTGAAGCCGGGGAAGTCCTTCTCCTCGCCGAATTGTACCTGGGGTTGCCGCTTCAGGCAGGGGTGCGCCGTATGTCAACACAAAGCGGCAAAACAAACCGCAAGCATGCACGTACCGTGCAGTCGATCGTTTGCTGTGCAACAACAATGTACACCGAACGGTTAGCGGGCACACTAGTATACAACCCGGGGACTGACCCATCCAAATGTCGAGGAAAAGGTCCGCCGCCCGCTCCATGTCCTCGTCGGTGTGCGTGTCCGCCTCAAAGTAGAACGGCTCGCACCTGCGCCATTTGACAAAGTAACGCCGCATGCTGAGATCCCGCGGCCAGGCGCCCTCCTTTGGTGCGTCCCAGCATGCCCAGTCAAGGACTAGCTGCACGAGGTGCGGAATCTGCTCGTCCTCGGGCAGCGCTTTGAGCGCATCAAGAACATCGTCCGTCTGAGCAAGTCAGATCACACGTTCTGGCCAAAAGGTCATGTAGACGTACGAGGATATGTTGCATGACGATCTTCTTGAAAGCGTCCCAGTTGAACGGCCCATTATACAGCACGCGCAACGTGCGGTTCAACTGTAAGAGCACCGGTAATGTCCAGTCGTCCGTGGACGGCAGCCGGTCGGTGAACTGTAACATATCCCGTCTACCGCTAAAACTGGGCCGACGCTTGACGGCCTCGCGATAGTACTTCCCCGTGTCTTCATAAGTCCATGGGCCAACCATGCTGGGCGGTGGGCGGCTTGTCCGACGTGGCAGATGTTGAGGTCGAGTGTAGGTACAAGGGCTGCGACGAGGAATGCGAGAGAGTGAGATCGAAGCGAGGCCGCGTAGGCAAGAAACAGTCAAGAGCGAGGTAGAATCTGACCGACGGGATGCTAGCCAGGTCAAGCGCGCACGCCACACCGGCCGTCCGAATTAGACGCTGAGCGCGTCGCACAGATGGCTGGCCACGTCATATGACCGTGTTCCGCGGGCCGTGTTCCGAAGCCACTGTGGGCGCACCTGGTGGATGGTAAGGATGATGCGCACTCGAGACATGGTAAACGTTGAGACCGGAGGTGTGGATGCACGCGCATGACATCAGGCAGCGGCGCCATGTCAATGTAATAGTCCGGGTATTTGCAAGAAACAGATTGCTAATTCCTCGCATTAAACGGAGTGCTACCACGATACTACAGTAGTGTCACGCACAAACGCCCTTCAAGACCGGGTATGCTTCACCTCCCTCTCCTCCTCAGACAACGTGTCTGCTGTGCGCTTCGCGCTGCCGGACGCGCCAGCACGACGACGGACCTGCACTGGAACCTTGAGAGACCGATGCCTTGGATAGCGCGCGGGGCGGGTTGAAGAAGGCTGGGTCCGCATGCGGATCAACCAGCTCGGTCTATCTGTCCCGTGAGTCTGTTGTGCCAGAGATATCCTGTGCGCACAAACCTGATAGGCGCACTTGATCTTGCGCACACGGCACGACACGCACTTGGGTAATTCGGTATCGTTTGGAACACGGCATTCGAGGATGCAAGCCTTGACGCATTGTATGCACATGTATGGCCCGCGAATCTGGTCACCTAGCGCATCAACAGCAAATGCAGAGCACAACCCTGTAAACTCACCACCGTGTCGTTCTCAGCCGGAGGCAGGTTCTCTGGCCTCTTGTACGACCTGACCTTGATCCAGGCCTTCATCTGCAACGGCGCACCGCACCGCCACTCCTGGTTCAGGTATGCCTCCAACGCCTCCGCCGCCTCGCGTCGCTGTTCGTCCGTGACATCTTGCATCCTCAACTTGTACTGCGTCACCCCAGGGACATCCTCCGCCTCGCAATACTGCACAGGTGTGTCCGCTGTACATGCGCGCCAATCGTCATACTCACACAACCGACCAAAGAGGAACAAACGTACCATACAGACAGTCATTGGCTGACCAGCGGGACACAGTGAGCGCACGCACACACGAACACGGTGATGCACTCACCGATCCACATATCCAGCAGAGCGTTGGCCGCCTGCTCCATGTCGACGTCGGTCGACGTGTCCGACTTGAAGTTCAGCGGCTCGCAGTGGCGCCATTTCATGAAGTAGCGGCGCATGCTCAAGCCCGGCGGCCACGCTCCCTCCTCCGGCGGGTCCCAGCAGGCCCAGTCCAGGACGAGCCGCACAAGGTGAGGCAGCGCGACGTCTTTTGATAGATTCTTGAGCGAGTTCAAGAGGTCGTCCGTCTGACGCACGTTTGACTCAGATCATCCGAGACACTGTGAGCACGCGACGCACCATGATGTACTTCATCAACAGGACCTCCGTCGTCTCCCAGTCAAAAGGCCCATTGTACACACCACGCAGGTTGCGGTTGAACTGCTCAAGCAGCTCAGCCGTCCACTCGTGCGTGGGCGGCACCTGGTCCGTGAACTCTAAATGTTTGCGCGTGCCGATGAAATCCACGCGTTTCTTCACCGCGGCCCGAAAGTACTTCTGTGTATGCTTCTCCGTCCATGTGCCGACCATGGTAGGTGTTGCGTGTAGAGATGCGATGGGCCCGCGGGCGTGGACAAGCGCGTGATGCGGTGTTGCCAAGATTGATGAACGCGGCGAGAGCAGGCAAAGATGCCGAAAGAAGCGACAACGGAACGATGAAGCGCGAAGTGGACCAACAAGCGCCTACCGCTGTACGCGTCAACAGATCATATGATCGCGTCCCCAGGGGCCGCCCAAGTGTCGCGCTCGCGTGCGTGTCTCACATGACCGTGTGTGGGCTACGCATGTTTGCCTTGCGCTCCAAGATGATACCGGGCGTCATCGTCGGTTTCAACTGTACCAACTTCACCATGTATGCATCACCGTTCATATATGGGTGGGGCAGTGCCGAATCAGGACTGCAACGCAACCGAGGTAAGACATTCCCCAAACGTCCGCGCCTCGCACTCATCCAAGCTCAGAAGGAGATACAAAACAGGCACCGGAACCGGTGTCGATTTCCAGCGTGCGAACTCGTCCTCTCTACATAACTGTTTCCGCCGCTGTGCCTACTGACATATGTTTGGTGGCAGTACATTACGGCTCACGAGAAATGCTCAGTTTGCACATGTCTTCAGCATGCTCGCTGTGATGTGCTTCCGGGCTCTATGAGCTGCTCCCAATGCGTTGACTTGGGCGTCCAGATACTGTGTACCGTGACCGTGGTGAGCATCGCATTTCTCAATGAACATAGCACCGACCAGGTGTGCTTGGGCAGCAACCATCGAGGGCACGCATGTGGCAGCGCGTCAAGAGTGAACCAGCCTACTACCTCAGCCACCACTTCATGGCCAATCTGCAATTGGTTTTACACGCATGGGAAGCCCAGCGCGCGCGCCATGCGCACGCTTATGAACACTTTCACCACACAGTATACCCTGTTGAACTTCGACTATTTCAGGTGTTATCACACGGGATAGGACTTATCCTTACCCGTTATGGACTTATGTTCTTCATTGCTACATATTACGTACATTCTTGATGGACTAGATCCAGACCTGTAGCACATGACTTGTTCTAGACCTGTATGGAACATTCCACATGGTTCCATCATATTCCAGATCATTCCTTGATGTTCCATCACATTCCTTGATCACATCACTTCGCATCATTGATCACATCATTGATCTAGGCCTGTCCAGTCCTTTCCAGTGCCTTCCAGCACGTTCTATCTATAGTGCCATATCGCATCATCCTGATGTATTCGCTCATTGCACTATATTGCATCATCATGACACGAAGTGTGTATGCCTTACTCATCCTGCTACAGGCTTACACATAACGCTTACTTACGCTTACTGTACGATCATGTGATGACTCTCTCATGTGTATATATACTGGGCTGGATGCCCCTGTAATGTATCGGTCTCTCCTCTTGTCTTACGCCTGCTGAGTCTTCCCTCTCAGTCTCTTGAGACCTTGCAAGCCCTCCATTGACTGCTGTCCTTAACTGGTCTTGTAGTCTGTTAAGTGTTGCCTTCACACTTGCCACTCCCTTTTCACTCCTTGTTCAACATACCCGCGTCTTTCCAATCCGCTCTCGCCGCTCTACGAGAGCGATAAGACGGAGTATCTTGAGATTTACTATAGTTGGAGAGCGGTCAAAACAATGACGCTCATGCTATACGCATACGATGGAAGTTACAGGCGCTTGTTACAACGGCTCAGAGAGCAGCGCGCACGTCAGGAGGCACGTTCGAGACTTCGCGTATGGTCTTACTAGTAGAGTACATACTTCTTCTTGTGGAATCCAAATCAAGATCATGTGCGTCTATGTATGGATATGCGTGGCGCCCCGCGCACGTTCCCGCATCTGATCTATCAGATATGCTGCAGTGGCCGGCGGCACTTGTACTCATTGTTCGACTCCGATGACTGCGATAAACCTGCCGCAACACACCGGTAACTTGATGTCAGCTATGATATTGACCGGTTGCATTGACACGCCACATGCGCAGCAGAGAGTCGCATGCGACGGGAAGTGACGGTCGTGGTGCGTGGTGATGTCCCATGACAGACGCGTCCAAACTCACGGTTAGCATAGCGTCGTGCGAGCGAACGATGTATACAATGTCAGGCGTCAAACGCAACCTACTGCGCGGTGCGCGCACATGAGGTGATCTGCGCACGTTGCACTGATCATGCCGGTGATGATCCCTGCTCGTTCATGGTGAGCTTGCGCGTCCATGCATTCATGGATCTGCCATATCAATCAATGTTCCTCAGGCTCGGAACAACAATCCAAGGATGCGCACCGCATAGTACATACTACTGCGCATATTGCCACTTGTATAAATAGGCGCATTGGCGCAGGACTCTGCGCATGCGCAATACAACGTCGCGACATCAATGCGGATACCGGGGTGCAACCACTGATATTACCGTGTGAATGCAATACTGCTCACTGTGGCCGAACGGAGGTTCGTAACGCAGGAAGCGCCCGCCGCCACACAACTCACATGACGCAAAACATAGCACTCGGTATGTCAGGTGCCGTCTTCTCTTCTCAAGTCGCTGCCATGTCCAGCTCCAACACTCCCCAAAGTGTGTCTGCCGGTGGTAGTGGAACGACGTGCGAAGCCAGCGGTGAGTACCGAGCATTTATATTCCAAGTAGCGGACTGACCATTCTCAAGCCGGTGAATACTTAGCGTGCCCGCGCCGTGAACAGCCAAAATCAGTACGGACCCCTGCTAGTTGTAGGTACTCAGTGGCGTCCAGGGCTGACTCGCTACCTACAGATGCATGGCGCCGACCGGTGTGCAATGTGCATCTTCCACCGCAGTGCCAATTGCGACGTACGTCCAAACTCGGAGACATGCGAGCAGTGCTTGACACGCGGATTGGGAATAATGTGCACGGTAGCGGTGAGTGTCCATCATGTCGGTATCTGGGTAACCCTCAGACTAACTGTGCCTGCACCGGCAGTCATCGTGGCCGCACAGGATGAGTGCCGCGTTTGACAATAACCCGCACGAGTACATGTCGGCCGAGTTCATGGCCAAATTCATCAAATTCGCGGCTCCGTACGCGGGTAGGGTACTAGAGCTCATGGGCAAGCGCATGGCGTATACCTGTGAGGCTGACACTCAACTCGTGATACGCGTGGATCAAGTTTGGGACCCTAAGGCTCTGGAGCGTTACTTGGATGAGCGGCGCGCCCGCTTCGACGCGATCGTATGTGAGCAGAACCTCATGGATACGTTATGGCCAGTGATGGACCAGTACATGGGCTTGTACAAAAGGGAGGCAGAAGCGATCGCCCTTGCGGACATGTTAGAGATTGAATTGAACGCGGACTGGAATCGTTTCATGTCCTAGGCATCTTAGTATCTGTATCTCTGTCTAATTTTGAGCGGATCTGTCGTTTGTACATGGGACATCGGGGTGTGATCGGCAATTCCCAGATTAGCGATAGCCTTGTGTGTGTCTATGTATGGACATCTGTAGCGCTCAGAACCGATCACTTCATCACACACAATCGATCAGATTGATCTGACAGCTTGTTATCGTGTCTCAGATGCTGCGGCTGCAATGTGCATGCACACTGAGACCATGTGCGTGCATTATGTTCTCGAGCATTGGGAAGTGAGGTGATGCTGCGCACTCGCGTGAATCCCAATAATGTATGTGCGCATACTACGAAACACAGTACTCCTCCAAGGGGATCTTGCGCGGGAGGGTGGGATCCCCTGTTACATGGTGCGCGCAGTACCGGAGACAATAGGTTACTTTGAGGAACCTAAGGCATGGTTCGCGATGCTGACATGTGCTTGAGGGGATCTCGCGCGCGTGCGCGAGATCCCCTGGGAGACTGTGTGTACTATGTTTGAGTACACGGACGCGTCGTGCGCGCGTACCCTTTCTAGGGGATCTCGCGCGGGTGTGCAGGATCCCCTGAGACCCCATGTGCGTACGCTGTGCGGGTACATGGAGGTATCATACATGCATACCCTTTCCAGGGGATCTCGCGCAGGTGCGCAGGATCCCCTGAGACCCCATGTGCGTACGCTGTGCGGGTACATGGAGGTATCATACATGCATACCCTTTCTAGGGGATCTTGCGCGGGTGCGCAGTATCCCCTGGGAGACTGTATGTGTACAGTGTTTGAGTACATGGATGTGTCGTGCGCGCGTACCCTTTCTAGGGGATCTCGCGCGGGTGTGCAGGATCCCCTAACACATGGTGCGTGGTGCGTGCATGGCACATGGGACTGGCATATGTCCCAGGGGATGTCGCGCCAGTGCACAGACCCCTGACATTCAGTACTGGATGTTGGTCTTGACGCAGTCCACATAACTGGTGTTGAGAGGTGCGCAGGGGATCTCGCGCGCCCGCGCGAGATCCCCTGAGACATGTAGGTGCGGCCCGAAGTCAGCACTTGCCTTATATGGTAATGGCCCAAAAAGGAATTACCATATAAGGCAAGCTGAGGGCACGCTGACCCCCCCTGGACTTAGGTGAAGGGGGTATAATGGGTCGGAGGATGGAGTCCCCATCCCCCCATTGCCTAGGTCGCTCGCGTGCTCGCTCCCCCTAACCTAACCACATTCACCGCAAGGAAAATGTTGCCTTGGTTGTCAAGACAAAGTGGAGTTGGATGAGACATGTTGTCTCCCAATTCTTCTCCAAAATGACGCAGCCAAGCCATCTGACGACAGCAGTCAGAGCTGGCCTTATACTCTGCTTCAGTTGAAGACAAAGATACCGTTGGTTGGCGTCTTGACACCCAAGAAACGACACAATTGGCCATGAGGAAAACAAAGCCAGATGTAGAGTGCCTATCATCACGGTCTTCAGCCCAGTCTGAGTCTGAGTAGGCGATCAGACCAGAGTTTGAGCCTCCATCGTAGCAAAGTGCAAGTTCCTTTGTCCCTTGAAGATATCTCAGGACATAGTACGCAAACTTCATATGCTCTTTAGACGGATTTGAAGAAAACTTCGCCAGACGCGTGACCGCGAACGAGATGTCTGGGCGAGTACCAAGCATAGCATACATGATGCTGCCAATGATGCTCTGGTAACGGGTTTGGAAAATTTCAGATGCAGTGTCGGTGTTCTTCTCTAATACTGCTCCAGCGGGAAGAGGCGTCCTTGCAGACTTGCAGTTGGACATTTGGAACCTCTCCAAAACAGACTGAATATAGTCTTCCTGGTCAATGAAGATATGACGTGCAAGACGTTCTCGACGAATGTGTAGACCAAGGAAATGCTGGACAGCTCCCAGATCAGTCATCTGGTATTCCAAAGACAGTCTCTGCTTGATGTTGTCGATGAACAATTTTGAGTCGCCCATGAGGAGCAAGTCGTCGACATACAATATGATTAAGCAGGTGTGTCCTTCAGATTCACGAGAGAAGACATAAATTCCGGCATCCGAATATGTCCGTTTAAACCCTAAGTCGAGGAGAGACTTGTGGATCTTAGCGTTCCATTGACGAGACGCTTGCTTCAAGCCATAAATGGCCTTCTTGAACAGACAGACCCAGTTCTCCTTCCCAGGTACAGCCCATCCTTCGGGCTGTTCCATGTAGATTTCCTCGTCAAGGTCACCGTTAAGGAATGCCGTCTTGACATCCATAGACTCAATCTCCCAATCTTCAAGTGCTGCATGCGCCAATAGATAGCGTACGGATTCAAACCGTGCAACAGGAGAAAAAGTCTCGGTATAGTCTTGACCCCATACTTGGGTAAATCCCTTTGCAACAACACGCGCTTTGTAGCGACCATCGTGTTTAATCGCATAAACCCACCGGCACTTGATAACCTTTCGGTTTTTAGGCCGTGGAACTAGAACCCAAGTCTTGTTGTCCATAAGCGACTTGTATTCAGAACCTTCAGATGCGTGCCATTTAGCCTTGTCTTGAGACTCCATAGCTTCCCTGTGACTCTGGGGAACACCATGGTTTGCTTCTGCTAGCATCCGCACAAACATGAGAGTTTCAGCCTCAGATTGTTGACGGCCTTGAGCATCGGTATGACGATCAATATTCGCAGGTGGCTCGTCACCATAGGCATTGTCCTTGTTCCTCTTAGGATTTTGTCCAGCACCTTGACAATGTGGACGTTCGTACTGAGGTTGCGGAGGAGGTACAGGATCAGGTTGCGGTTGTGGATTGTCTCCCACTGGCTCTGGATGGTCTTCAGGTTCAGGTTCATGTTCCGGGATAGGAACGGGAATAGGTAAATCCTCAGAATCAGAATCCTCCGAGTTCGCATCCTCAGGAGGTTCATCAAACGGCTTATCCAGGGATTTCGGATTATTGCCTAAATCTTTACGTGCAGGAAATGTCTCTTCATCGAAGGTCACATCACGAGACACAACGATACTTCGAGTGGCTGGGTTCCAGAAACGATACCCTTTGGAACCTAACTCATAGCCAACAAAGATCATCTCGACAGCCTTCTTGTCGAGCTTCCCAGCTCTTTGTTCCTTCTGCACATGCACATATGCCTTGCACCCAAATACCCTAAAATACGAAATGTCTGGGACTGTGCTATCCCAGAGGGTAATGGGGCATTGCCAGTTAAGGCGTCGCATTGGTTGCCGATTATAAATGTGAACTGCAGCGTCAACAGCCAATTGCCAGAAACCATGGCTTAGTCCAGCATGATGAAGCATAGACATAGCCTTCTCGACAATGGTCCGATTCCAGCGCTCAGCTCTCCCATTCTGTTGAGGAGAGTATGGCATCGTCTTCTGATGTTCAATGCCAAATTTGTGCAAATGTTCGGTAAATTCTGCAGAGGTATATTCTCCCCCTCGATCTGAGTGTACAGCTTTGATTTTCTCGTCAGTCTGGTTCTCAGCCCATGCCTTGAAATCATCAAACACTTGGGTCGAATCATTCTTATGTTTGAGGAAATAGGCGCGGCCAAGACCGGAGTAGTCGTCGAGAAAGCTGATGAAGTAGCGCCATCCACCAATAGCGGTGGTACGCATAGGACCATCTTCGTCAGTATGAACAATTTCAAGAGGTTTTGAAGCTCTCTTGTCCGACGCGGGAAATGGAGCACGATGAGACTTGCCCCATTGACAACCTGCACAAGGAGACTTGTCCTTGTCACCGATAGAATCCACACCCTTGGTGTGCTTGGGTAGTTGACGGATAACTTCTTCAGATGAATGTCCGAAGCGTTGATGCCAAAGGCAAAAATTTGACTTGTCCGCAGACTTAGCCAATTGCGGTTTCATAATTTCCATGTGCAACATATAGAGATTGTTGAAGGGCGTGTGATGCGCCTCCATGATCTTGTTACCACGGATTCGGTCAGAACCATGCAAAATAGGTTGGTCGAAAATGACCATACGGCCTCCACCTTGAACAAGGGTGAAACCTGAACGTTCAATAACTCCAGTTGAAAATAGGCGACTAGACGCGGCAGGGATATATGCGACATTGGTGATAGTCGACACAATATGTTTCCCTTCAACATGCACAACGCCTTTGATAGTGCCTTCACCGTAAGCTGCAATCTTACTCTTGCCGGCTGTGCTAAAAATCATGGGCTCCTCGTAAGGAGTGTAATCCCAAAAATCAGCCATGTCGTTGGTGATCGTCTTGGATGCACCAGAATCCATAATCCAATCAGTCGTTCTTCCTGACGCGGTGTGAGCCGCAGTATACCAAGAAGCAGTCATAGTATTTGCAGACGACGAGGATGATTCTACAGTTACAACATTTGAAGAGTCCGACGCAGATGCAGTGTTAGAAGTACCAGAACTAGATTGACCATTTCCTCCGTTCTTTCCCTTTCCTTTGCCCTTGCCCTTGCCCTTGTTGTTCTTCCCCTTTCCGCCACCTTTATTCTGAGGGCGGAGATGCGGGTACTTGGTCCAACAATCCTCGCTACCATGGGCCCCACCGCAGTGATCGCAGGGGTCCTTGGATTTATGCTTGACCTGGGACGTCTTAGACGCAGACTGTCCCATACCGGACCGGCGAAGTGATTCCTCGGCAAGAATTTTGCTCTGGACCGAGTCGACCTTTAGATCTTTGAGGGTGTGCGTCGCTAGGAGCGCAGAGATCATCGACTGGTATGACTCTGGCAGCTTCGACAGAAGGAGAAGAGCCTGAGTCGAGTCACCAAGCGTAATTCCGCCACCACTAATCTCCTTAAGCCGGGTAACCAGCTTGTTGATCTGATCCTGCATTGGCTTGGAGTCAGACATTTCCGGAGATTTGATTAACGACTGGAAGAGAGACCAGACGTATGCCGTGTCGGGGGTGCCAAAAGCGGTTTTGAGCGAGTTCCACATGTCCTTTGCATCCTTGAGATCACCGGTGTCTTTCTCGAGCAGATGATGCATCGAGCGATCGGTTCTCATAAATAGAACACCCTGGGCACGGGCATTCTGAGTGGCGAAGTCCGCTGCGGGTGTGCCAGTTGCAGTAACGGCGGGCCAGGCTTGGATAAAAACCAAATAGCCGCGCATGGCGGCTGACCAATCAGCGTATTGGGACGCTGAGGAAAGCTTGGGGACATTGTCAGGCTTGACGTCACCCATGGTTGCGGATAGGAGGATAAATTCGTCTTGTGAGACGGATGGTAGTTCTGGGGTAAAAACTTCGAAGGGTAATTCCTCAAAGAATGGAGATTGAGGTCTCGACTCAGGGAGCGGGACTAGGTGTTCAGGATATGGAGGTAACTCCGAAAATTCACTAGCAAATAGGAAATTCTCCTGCCAAGGAGCGACCGATATTCCAGTTGAAAATCCTTCTGGAACTGGACCTAGAGGTTGATCGTAGCGATGTGGGCAACTAGCGTCGTCACAGTTAATCCACTGATCTTCTTCGATGTCGAAATGATAATCGAAGTTCTCCTCGTAGTCGTAGAGATGATGATGGTCGGTGCAATCGTACGGTGGAATTACTCCGTCCGATGCTTCACTATTTGAGTCTCGGTCAAATGTCTCTTCTTGAGACGAAGCCACAGTGTGATGCTTAAATTCTAGGGACGAAGATATACAGAAAAAATGCAACTACAATCGCTTATCTACCCAGTACAAGTAGTTGTTCTTGTACAAGTCCCCTACGTCCTTGATAATGCGGCCAAAATTCTGGCTAAGATTTATGAAGGAAATCTTTGCAATCAGCTCGCAGACAGAACAGATGTCGTTCAATTCGACTGCAGACCACGTGGTTCCTTCCTCCTCGATATTCGTCAGCACCCAGTTGAAACGCCTGCCAAAATCGTCCAAGTTATCCAACAAGGGAAGACGGGCGTAGAGGTGGTTACGGTGGCGATAGAGGGGCTGAAGGCGCTTCTGGACGGCAAGGAGACGCTTGCACAGGATCTCGACTTTGTCAGCGGTGGACTTCTTGCGGAAGTCGGACAGGAAGATAGGCTTTAGAGCCGTGGGAACGATGGGAGTTTCTCCGCTAAGACGCTCAATGAGCGAAGCCTTGGTCTCGGCAGCAGCGGCACTAGCGGCACGAGCAGCAGCGAGTTCGGCTCGGCGTGTCTCGGCGAGAGCTTCGGCAACGTCCACTTTCTTCTGCAAATACAAGAGGTGCTGCTCCGGCGAGGTGCAGCAGGACTCCTTGGGAGGAATGGACGTGTCTACGCGGCCAGAGGCTTGGCGGCGGCGACAAGGGGTAGGAGCGAGGATGATGTCGATCTGGCGACGGACGGGTAGATGACTGTACAAATGCCAATGACGTACGGCGATGACGTTAAGATAGCCCCAGCTCATCTTCGACCACTCCCGGCGCTTCGGGTATGTCACATGATCTTGCCGTATCACTGCTCTTGCATAGAGCGAAAACTCGAGTACAGCACAGTCAAACAACCCCGAAAGGCAGAGTGTCATGACACGAGGGTCACTGTGAATAAATTAAGTGCGCTATTGCAGATGTGCGATTTTGAAGGCACTTGAGAGCACGAAGCGCACGAGCATAGGCGCGTGCGAGGTATGGCGATCGCGAGGCGATCTCAGCACCGTATCGCTATGGGAGACCAGACGGCGGCCTGGAACTTTGATTTTTTCCCCTAACTATGTTCATGACTGTACCACCGAGAAAGTTAGGGGCAGCGATTTGGGGCTTATGTGTTGTGCGAAGGTCTGATACATCTACAGTACTGCCTAGGACGATCTGGCAGCCAAGCGGCACGTGATAGTAGTCGAGGATGAGCTGGGGCTATCTTAGAGTCGTCTTTGTCAACGTCGTTTCTCTCACGACAAGACGGATGATAAATTTCGTAATCGCCTTTTCGGGCTGCCCTAGATATGCGCTCAGACAAGGCCTTTGGCACTATGTCACACAGCGACTTAAAAATAGTCCAACAAAGGACAAAAAATTGCCAACTCACTCTTTCAAGAGTTGGGCTTTGGAGCGCGCAAAGAGGGGTGCAGATGATCAAAGAATCAGAGCGCAGGGCTCATAACCTGTTGAAGAAAGAGGTTTTAGGCTTAGTAAGCCCAGTGGCAGTGAAGAACTAAAGAGTGAGTGAACAGACCAGTCCCAAAGGGAAGATCCTATGCTGGCAGGCAGAGGAGAGGACGAAGGATCGTTATCATTACAGGGCAAACCAGCCCAGTATATATACACATTTGATACAGGTCACATGCTGTATCAGTGGTTCATCAGTAAGCACTAAGTCCGAGGTTTTGGGGATATGAGTAAGCTGGTAAGCAGCATGAGTAAGCCAAAACTCGGAGTTTGATGTGGAGAGATATATGAAATGTGATGGAACATCGGAATAATATGAGACATGATGGAACATCAAAGAGGAATATAAGATGTGATGGGACATCAAGGAATGATATGGAACGTCATGGAACATCAAGGAATGTCGTGGAATATCATGGAATGATCCGGACTAAAGTCACATGACGTAATCTAGGCAAAGTCCATCAAAGAACGTATGTAATCTGACATCGCAGAACATAAGTCCATATCCGTACATAACTGATAAGATAAGAACACTGAAAACTCGGAAGTTCAACAACCAGATTGATGAAGCTCCTGTGTGAAACGGGATAACTGACAACATGTTATATGCATCCCCAGTGAGCAGCTGGTATGTTGCACTGTGGGCACGCTACTCACCCTCGATTTCCATGGGAACTATTCACTACATCAGCACAGAGTCTCAATGGTGGTCAAACTAGCACCCACACAGAGAGTGGACCGGAACGCTTCGTGCTCTGGGTTGACCTTCCTGAGCTTCTCCGTGGACACAAGTGTCCAATACGCGACCATACCATCCCATGTTGGTGTCACGGCCGAGCAGTGCAGGCAATTGGCACAGTCGGCATTATCAGGACACTCGTGTTGGTGCACGATGTTGTACATGCAGGTGCGCACATTAGACTTCATCCTGTCAGCACTGAGCGGGACGTCGGCCTCTGCTTTAGACCCGTCTTCAAAGTAAAGCTGGAGATACGACACGTTCTCCTCGTCATCCTTGATCTCTTTGTAGCGGACGAGTTTCTTGTGCCAGTGTGTTGTGTACCTCGAAGGGATGTTCCGCAACAGCACTTGTATCAAGTCAGCCCTATGCATGCTTGATGAGCCATCTGACGTGTTCAGTCAGCTGACTGAAGCATTGCAAGATGGAGAGGGCAAGGACTCACAAGGCATCATGATCCTATAGAACGTATAGTTGTTTTCAGTCCTATCAGACTGCCTGTACACAAAACCAGGTCCTAGACACCCGTCAGTCGGGCACTCAGATGACAAGTGCGGCAAGTTGATGCTCACCCATGGTCTTGTTAGGAGGTCTCTCTGTGTGACAGGTAGGCAATACTATGCCAGCCCTAGTAGATTAGATTAGATCATCTGTACTTAGCTATCCTCCTTCCATATTGGGAAGTAATCGATTCTTACACCTGAACTACCACATTGTCCGTGTGCGAACCCCGCGCCATCCGAGTACGTTCAGACTTCCCTCGGCCTGCGCTCCTTGCCACACCTAGGACCAATCCTAGACTGGGCTCCTCGCCCTGCAACGACACTAGCGGGAGCTCCTCGCCTCGCTCACAACCTCACGAAGCCACGACATTCTCCCCGGTTGCGCCGCAACCACCAAATGTCAGGTTCACGGGCAGCCCGGCCCCCCAATCAAGGGTTCCGAGCCCACGAACTCTTACACTCTGCCGCCTCCAACAATTCCTTGTCTAGGCCCAGTAACCCCATGACTTGCCATGTTCGTTGCCATACGGATATGCCAACGCCAAGCACCGCAATTTCTGGGTATCACTCGTAGATATTGACCTCCGTGTTACACGAAGTGTGACACCTAGAGCACTAGCTCTCATCCTAACCCTAAACGTAGGGACCTTAGGTTCTAATTGTCCTTGGATGGGGAGGATGGTCGAAGACGCTGCTAAGTCCGTCTAGCAGGTCGAGTGGGGAGTTTCTGATATCCAAGGAGCTGGTGAAGCTTCAATAGATAACCAGGTCGAACTGAGGTTCGACCGCTACTGTACACAGTTCTTATATACAAGAGGAGTTCAGGGCAGGTCCCAGACGAGTCACCACTACCTAGCCAATAGGAGCGCAGGGGAGTGAGTCATGACGAGTCAGGAACCGAGTCATAAACGATGAGTCATGTATGAGTAAGCGAGGAGTCACAACGAGTCATACTGAGTCAAAGAGCACGTGAACTGCCCGGGTTGGACCAGAGCAAACAGCGAAGGAGTCTGAAGACTGGGAGCGTAGCATCATGGGGTTGGGCCCATGTTAAGGTAGTACAACAGTCGAGCACAAATAGAGAAAAACAAACGTTGACGTAACACTCCGGTTGCTCAAATTTTCCGAGAACAACTGCGAGAGCAAGGCCGCCTATGCCGGTGCCACTGTGGAGAAGGTTTGAGAATGGATCACTCCATGATAAAGTACAGACTGACCAAATGGCAACTCGCAGTTGTGATGTAGTTCCTGAAGTGGAAGCCCCATTGTACAAAGTGAGACCAGGGCAGGCCAGCTTTATGAGCCTTTGAGATGCCAGCGGCTGTAAGTATGACTCTCCTCGGATCCATCATCTGCATGAAGCTCAATTTGATGAATTTCCCCTTGGGCTCAATGTTTGGCGTCTATGACAGAGGGGTTAGGTTGCGGGTGTCACGGAGCAACGTCAAACGCAGACAGAACAAAGCTAAAACAAATAACTGACCTCAAGGAGGTGGACTGATGTCGACCTGGCTAGCACGCTATGAAAGACAACTAGCACTCCAAGTTAGCATTCTACTATCTACTTAGTACAGAGGGATGCTTACCTAGCACTCCAAGAGGATGAGCTGGAGAGCTAGGCAGCTACAGGGGCACTATATATACTGTCAAGGTTTAGGGCAGGTTTACTGCTATGCAGCCTCAAACATGAGTCACATGTACATATGAGTCAGAGTGAGTCAGAGTGAGTCAGACACATCCGGAACGATGACAAAGTGTGAATACATAAGGAATCACATGTTGTTGCCAGTCACAAGATAAACCCTAGCACGTGACCGGTCATGTCACATGACTAGTCAGAAAGCCGTTCCAGGTGAAGTCTACGTATAGCGTACAGTACAAGTCCTTTGTACAAGCAATAAAATATAGTAAAAATGAGGAAAAATACAGGGCCTAGGTGTCATTCCATGACAGCGGGAGCCCGCAGCAAGTGTCCTGAAGCATGATACCAGTCCTCACTTCTTGGACACGGAAAGCAATGGAGGGCTCACCCTCCAATGAAGAAAACAGAAGATCTGCTGCAACAATATGCCCCAAAGGTGGTCACGACCTCCAAGCATGACCCAACTCTGAGGCCCCGTCAGTAAGTTCGGACATGCGTGCGAGGAGCTCTTTGCGAAGGACCCTGACTACGACTTGTTTCTTCCTGCGAATTGACCCTGATATGTCAGCCTATGTCAAGCACTCCTGTGACCTCAACTCAATCAAATGTGAGGGAGCTCTGTATGGGATCAAACTCCGTTCGACTTCAGATGGGCCAATGAAGACTCAAGGAACCACGAACTGGTAGCTTGTGTCCTGTTACGCAGATCTCGATTGACAGTCCTCGAGGGTGCGGCGCCGAGAGGGTACGATGGCTCTTTCTTGTCAACTCATGCACAGCTCGGGCGGAGGGCGAGTTTCCGAGAGAGAAAGTATAATGTCATAGTAATCCTGTAGTCACTTCCTAGAGACGTGACTTCAGGTGCGGCCATTATATCAAACCAACGTAGATATGCGCAGATTCTGTAAGTACGCGATTTGCAATCTACTCGACGGTTGAGAATCCACAAGTAACCGGACAACGTTGGGTGAGTAACTCACATGTCAGTAGGGCATGCGTGTTCCGTCACACAGCCGACACCTGGAGGCGAATCCACGACGTCAAAGGCTTGAACAAGTCTCTCGAAGAGTATTCCGGTACCTCCTCGCGACTTGTCGGCATGGTCGCATCATTGTCCTCGGCCTCTTCTTTCTCCTCTTTCAGATCCTTCATCCAGGGCGGGACCACGTCTGGGAGCTCAAAGTCGAATGCTCGGACGGTGCCACCGTCACGGTGGATACAGGGGAGCCGAAGGGTCGACGAATCGCAACAAGCTTGAAGAGCAAAGAGGCTCACTCCTGTTCTCTCCATTGCTGAGCCCGCAGTAGATGAGACGCCTCGACGCTTGACGGGCTCGTGATGCGCACACTTCCAGTCTCCGCTATGGGCGTGCGTTTGCCAATGAACGTCAATGTCTCCGCCCACGTTGACCGGCACGCCTACGGCAGCCGCGACGGGCACGCTCGCACCCAGACCGACAGTGATTTCCTTCGACGATGTAGAGGTGAGGAGACGAGCGTACGATCTGCATGTGTAGACATCTAGGCAATACTTTCTGTCTGAATTTTATTTGCCCGCCGAGAGCACGACGGCAGACGTCTGTCTATTCGAGTGTTCCTGGTAGGGCCGTCTGACGGGCAAGCGAAGAGCGCAGACCGAGTGCGGTGTACAGATGAGCCTACGCGCGCTGAACTGGGGTACGGGAGACGCCACAAAGCACCGTGAAAGTGTCCGCAGACCACGGCAGCTCGAAGCGCGGAGACGACAGCACCCGGCACGGACGCAGGAGGCCCGAGTGCACATCACGATGGGATCGATAACGTCCGGCCGCAGAACTCGGGAAGGCAACGCGGGCGTCGAGGGAGGAGGCAGTTGGGTGGGCGGCCAAAACGTCGAAGGCGAGGGGCATCCTGGAGCGGGAGAAGGGGACGAGTGGGCGGGTGAGCGGCTGGGCGACGAAGGATTGTGTCCGTGCCGGTGCAGATGGCCGACGTCATGGTCGCCCGCGAGGTTGGCGGTAGCGGAGTGGGACGCCACAAGGTTCGGTGGTACTGCGGTGAGTGAGTAGCGGGAGACGACCGGTCCGTGGTCTTGAGCAGTGCGAGACGAAGGCACTGGGCTGATTGCCAAGGCCGTAGGTGTCTGCTATTCAGTTGGTGGTCGTGCCGAAGCCTCGACATAGGGCCGCTCAGTCCCGGCTGCGACGGGTCTGTTGGCCGGGAACGCGTGGCTATGGACCGCTGGGAGGTGAACGAGCCGCGAGGCGAACGCGACGATCGCCTGCGTGTTCCTGGGTGCGACAAGGCGGTCACGAGAATACGCGGGCAGTCGACCCACAGGGTGGGCGGTGCGAGTGGACGGCGCGACCGAGGGGAGAGGGACGCCGGGAGAGCAGTGCAGGGTGGAGGTGGTGAGGGTGATGGCGAAGCCCTCGGGATCTGGTATCGTGCATCGAGGCAATGAGGCAGTGGGGAGGCTATAGCAGCGCGGCGGACGCTCACCTTGCTTGCACCACGGGCTTTGCGCCACAGAGGTTCCGGCGGCTAGCGCGGGACGCAGGCCGTGGTGGACTGCTTGCTCAGCAGCGACACGGTGAGGAGTCGGACGTTGCGGGGATGGTCGCGAAGGTGACCCGCGACGGACGGTCGTGTGCGACGTACCGGACGGAGGATTGGGGCTGCTTGGGAACGACGGCGTGTCCGTCGCCCGCGAAGGCGAGCACTACAAATTCGGGGGCTCTGGGGGGCACGGCAGACGCGTGTTGGCCTCGGGGGCATGAATGGCGGGCTCTGTAGGAGGTGGCGGCGGTGGCGGATGACGGTGGGCCATGACTATACGGCATCCTGCGCAAGGGGGGCGCCGTGGATCAGGCAAATGCACTGCGGCCACAAACGTCGACAGCACGTGCATCGCGAGGAGGGGGCGGGCGCCCTGGGTGCCTCGTTGAGGAGGCGTTGTGATGGGCGGCATATGGCCCCGCGATCGGATGGGAGCGATCGGCTGGCGCCCACGGAGGCAAACTCCCCGCCCCTCCCCGCTGCCTTGCCCGGCGACCGCGACGACGACGACGGCGGCGGCGGTGGCCATCGCGGTCGGCAGCCCCGCCGCTACGCACGGCAGCGGGCGGGCCGATGAGCCGTGGCGGGGCAGGGCCGATCGAGGGAGAGCCGGCGGCCGGGAGGGCGGCCAGGCACGCGCCGTGGCCGGAGACGTGCGCGCGGTGATCAGCGTCGCAGCGGCGTGGGCGGGGCCGGTGTTCCATCGAAGGCACGTGGCGGGCGACGTGGGACGGCTTCGCGGGTGAACGGATGAGCACGGTCGCCTGCGCCCAGACAGCGAGCGCGCACGGCCACGAATAGCAAGATGCTCGCCTGCTTTCCTCCATCGCCCGACCATCGCACCCGCCCCCCGGCCACTGCTCGGGCACCGCCCGCCAGCGTGCGCGATCGGCGGTCGACAGGACGCGCCGCCCGCGCGCCATGTGCAACGGGCCTGGCAGATGCATCTCGCGGCGAGTTGCGCGGCGACGTGCGCAGACGGATGGGGCACAGCGGTGGGCGCGCGCGTTCCTGTGTCGGGACTCCGGCGAGCGAGGTTACGTACGGTGAGAACGGCCGACATGTATCCGCGGGGCGACACGGCGGGAGGGTCGAGCACGCGCCGACGAGGGCAGAAAGGAAGATGGTGGGCCAGAGGGAGTGCGTGTGCGCGCGTGCGGGTGGCCTCCGCGCCGCGCGGGCCGCCGCCATGAGGCGGGATGACGGCGAGGGTCCGGCGAGGGACGTGGGCAGATGCCGTACTCTGCGCGACAGGCCGCCGGGGCGAGACTGCGGTGGCTGCGAGCGAGAACCCCGTCGCGGTGGGCAACACCGCGCGGCACACGGGCGCTGGCGGCGGCGGCGCGGGGTGGCCGGGGACAGGGCGCGGGGCCGAGGGCAGGCGGGAAAACAGGGGATGCGGCCGAAAGAGGCAGGCGGGGAGCCAGGGGACGCGGGGCGCGCTGTGGCCGCACCCAGCCAATCAGCGCTCGCCCCCGCCCGATCGGGGCAGCGCAGCCACCCGCGAGCGTGCCGCACGGTTATCACCACCGCTCAAATATCGTCCCCGCCCTCCCCATCCGACGCCGCCCCCGCTCCCCCTTCGACTCGCCCCCGTCGCCCTCGTCGTCGCCCTCGTCGCGCCCCGCGATGTCCAGCTCCCCCCGCCCCCCGCCCGCCCCCGCCCCCGCCGTCGCCGCCGCCACCCCCGCCCGCTCCCCGCCCGAGCAGCCACCCGCCCCCGCCCCCGCGTCCAACGGCCCCGCGCCGCTCGCCAGCCAGTCGCCCGCCCAGCTCGCCGCCTTCCTCTCCGACGCCCTCCGCGACGCAGACATCCTCCGCCACGACCTCGCCCGCGCAAAGCGCCGCGCAGACAAGGCGGAACGCCTCCTCTCCAGCCTCACCCAGCCCGCCCCCGCCCCCGCCCAGCAACGCCCACCCGCAGACCCCTCCGCCTCGCCCACCGCCGCCCCCGCCAACGGCCAGCCCCAGCCCCTCCCCGAGTCCGCCGTCAAGGCCATCCTCGACGCCGAGGCACGCGTCGAACGCGCAGAGGTCGCCCGCGACGACGCAGAGGCGCGTCTCCGCGTCATCCAGGACGCCTGGACGGAGCTCAACCACTACCTCAACACCATCGAGGTCCGTGCTGCCGACGCCCGCATGTCCTTCTCCCGCATCGTCGCGGACGGCGGCGGCCAGCTCGTCCTCATCCCCGTCCACGCCGCAGGCCCCTCGTCCGGCCACCCGTCCTCCCACCCATCCCACCACCACACCCTGCCCCCCATGAGGTCGCTCCCGCCTCGCACCAACCGCCCGCCCTTTCCCTCTCTCCCCCCGCCTCCCCTCCCCAACGCCACCAGCCGCGTGAGGCCACGTTCCGGCAGCCTCGAAGCCTACCACGCTGGCCTCACTGGCCCCGGTGGCCCTCCCCCGGCAAAGCGCATCCGCAGCGAGCGTGAGCAGACTGACCGCACGCGGCAATACAGTGTATCGGTGAGCACCCCTCGCGTCTCCCTCTCCGTCGCCGTCTGACAACCCATCCAGCCTTCCGCCTCGCCCCGGTATGCCTACGTGAACGGCCGTCACGACCCCGGCCTCGTCCCTCTGCAGCACTCTGGCAGTGCGAGTGTCCCGGCCCTTCACCCGTACTACGGCGCCTCGAGCCAGCCCGCCCCTTCCTACCGCGCCCACCACCCTGACCGCGACGACTCGGTCCAAATCCATTACGTCGACGCGTCCGGGCGTCCGACCCACCATGCGCGGCACGCTCGCCGCCGCGGTCGCTCGCCACACTCGCGCAGCCGCAGCCGCGAGAGCTCCATGAGCGTCGACGAGATGATCCTCGAGGCCACGACCGGCGACGACCATGAGCGACAGGGCGTCCCCATAGGTCGTCCGCACTCTCAGTCGCTCACTCACCACCCCTCGCAGCAAATGTCCATGCCGCGCGTGCGCCACCGCTCCCAGTCGCCCATGGGCCGCGAATACCTCGCCGTGCCGCACTCCCGCTCTCGAGGTGCGTCGCGGCTCTCTGCCCTCACCCACGAACAACTTTACCCATCCCCTTCCTTCCCAGGTCCAGGCGGCGGCAGCGGCTCTCCTGGCAGTGGCGGTGTCTCGCCGATCCCAGGCCATCCCAGCGTAAACGGCCCCCTCGGCGCCCCTGGCCAGATGCAGACCTACCAGACACACATCTTCGCGCCGCCAGTCACTGGAGCGCCCGTCAAGAAGAGCAAGTTGTCCGGCGCAGCGAGCTCTGGAAGCCTTGGGCCCAATGGAAGCGTCCTTACATTGGGTATGTACTGATCACTGTCGTACCGCCGCGTCCCTCCGTGCTGACGAGCAGGCTTATTTGCAGGTCCCAACGGCTCCGTCATCTCAGGACCCTCGGTCATGGGCGGTGGCGGCTTCCCGCCTACGAACGCATCCGGTCAGCGCATCTGCCGCCAGTGCGGCCTGCCAGGGCGGTACAAGGAAGGCAAATGCGTCGAGAAGTGGGGTCCAGGGCCCGAAGGCCCGGGGACAGTGTGCGACCGGTGAGACCATCTCCTCGTGCCTTCCCACCGCGAGCGTAGCTGACAGCGCGCGATCCATAGCTGCCGAAAAAAGATGAAGCGCGTCGAGCGGCGCGGCACCATGGACGGACAACTCGCCATGGGTCTTTCCCACCATCACCAGCCACCCGCGGCAATCCACCCGTCCTCCCACCACCACAGCACCCTCAATGGGCACGGCCCCGGCCCTGATCGCTCTCTCCACCGCTCGGATACCCTCCCTGTCAACCACTCCTACCCGCATTCGCAATCCTCGCGACACCTCGGTCTCGCCTCGTCCATGACGTCGCCGTACTCACGCCATGAGAGGGACCACGAACGGGACCGTGAGGAAGCAAGGACGCAACCGACGTCGCCGCCCTCCGGCCACTTGGGATCCCAACGATCGCCGCCGACCCCGCCGTACATCGCCACGCTGCCCGGTGCATCCGTTGGCGACGACGACGACGCTTACGAGATGGAACGAGACCGCGTCTCACGGCCCAAGGGTTCCCGTGCGCAGAGCCCCGCCGGACGGGTGCCGCAGAGCAACCACCGGTCGACCGACCGCAGCAGCTCACTGAGCAACACGCCGCCCCTGAACGGTGTTACGAACGGCGCCGCCGCGTCCGCCAGAGGATCCCCGAGAGGCTCTGACGCCTCGCGCGCGAGCGGTGGCGGCTCACGCTCCGAGGACATGGATGCAGATGGTGATGCTGATGCCGATGCGGACGCTGACGCCGACGCGGAGGTCGACGCAGATGCGGACGCGGATGCCGACCTGCTCGAGGCCGTCGACGCCGCCGAGGCGAACAACTCTAACGATGACGAGTGGCTCAAGAAGGAAGAAATGTAAATAGTCGTTTTTTGGTATACCGTGTTCAGTTGCTTGCATGAACTCACGAACTTTGTCGCCGCTGCTATGTAACATTAATCCCGCGTGTCGTGCTGTATGAAGTAGTAGTTAGATTGTTCTGATGTTATTGTGCTGTCGTTCGCATTCGTGCAGTGCTCGGAGTGTCAAGCCTCAAGGAACGCAGCAAGCATATCCATCACGGCTCACCCATCGGTGAGTAGTCTACATTCTACGCTGTCGAGTGTTGACCACCTCCAAGTACTCTGATCATCATTGCGCCTGCACTTTCTGCGCGTCGGTGCGCTGGAACTGCTCGATAGCCCATTCCGCCACATCCCACTGCTCGTCAAACGACTCGCGCCACTGCCACTGCCAGTTTCGGTAGATCGACTTGCCCAACTTATCCAGCTGCTCGCGCTCGTCGGAGCAGTCGCTCCCGTCGTACTGGCCCGGCCAGTTGAATTCGCACATACGACCCGTCTCTCGAGCGTACTTGAAGATTGTGTTGGCGAACGGCAGCCGGACGCTTTGGTAAATCCGGAGGACCTCGTGGACGCGGTCGAGTGTCGTCAAGGGATGGGCGAGCAGTCTTCCGAGGATGTATGCGTCCTGTAGGTGCGTCGTTAGGCTATGCTGCTACAGTAGCACCATCGGACGCACTTCGATGCTTTGTCCTGCGCCGGCCCCGAGATGCGTCTCCATTGCGTGCACCTAGGCGCTGTTCACCGACCGTCTCGGGAGTGGTAGGTCACAGAATACATACCGCATCACCGAGCAAGGCTGCGCGTCCGCGTACGGAGAAGGGCAAATCCGAGATCATGTTGATTACCCAGCGGGTAGGTGTGTCGACGCACTGAGCGCGTGCGTCAGACAGCGGTTCTCCGTTGAGGCATTCCACGTACCTGCGCCATATCCTGGACTTCCTTCTCCCAGCCTTCAAACAGCTCCAGGATCTCTTCCTTTGGAACCTCTTCGGCCCACTTGCCCTCGTAGACGGTGCCCTCCATCTCTGGCCTCGTCTTGAAACCGATCCAGTTGATGAAGCTGCCGTGCGACACAGGATAGGAAACGACGTGCTGTGGGCTGTCAATCAGCGTGCAACGACGCTTCGCCGTGATCGGGTCACTCGCCTTTGACTTCCCGGAGTACTATTGGCGATCATTCCACGGTAAGTGGTTTGCTGTTGAACGTCTATATATGTAAACTCACGCATAGTGTGTACCGAAAGCCTTGGTGCTCAGGGTCGATCACCTTGAGTCTCTCGGTCGGTATAAGAGCTCTATAGGTGATGATACCCGTCCACTTCGGCGTCGCGGCAGAGCACCTCGAACAGTGTTCTCGGTCGACGTCCGGAATACAGTCCTGCCGGTGAGCGATGTCGTACATAGACGTGCGCACCGCTGACTTGATACCGTCGGCTCCGATGACAACGTCCGCTTCTGCTGTCGTTCCGTCGGTGAAATGCAGCTCGTAGTGCATGACATCCCCCTTCTCGTCCAGAATCTCCGAATAGTTGACCAACTTCTTGTCCATATGCATAGTATACGATTGCGGGACGTTCTGAAGCAGGACTTGGATCAGATCTGCCCGATGCATGGTGGACGAGCCGTCTAGTCTTAATGTAAGTGGACAGTGACAGCGCGAAGACAAAAAATCCTACAGGGCAGCATGACGGTGTAATAATTGTAAGTATCCTCTGTTCTATCGGCGCGTCTGTACACGAAGCCAGGTCCTCGTTTCGAGGATAGGCTGTCAATGTTCTGTAGTGGTGAACGATCAATGCACACTCACCGAGCGCTTTACTGGGTGGCCTTTCGGACGCCCGAGCCAGCTGGTCGTCGATTCCAAGTAATTGCATGACTCTCCAAGTCCGCTGCCATACGCTGATTCCTGCACCAAACACAGACATTTCGGAATGTCTCTCGTAAATGGCGACCTCGAGGGGGGAGTCCTTCTGGTCATATTTCCCAAGCACCGTGGCCAGTGCCAGTCCTGCTATGCCGGCGCCGCTGTGCTCATAAATCAGCATTCGATACATTGACACCATCGCAGCAACTGACCATATTGCAATACGGAATCTGGGCTTCGGACTCGTCGTTGTAACTCCCATTGTGCGATACAGGACTCAACTGTCGCCCTCGGCGCATAAGGCATATAAGCCAGATAGGCAGCTCTCACTCTCGTTTCTTGAGGAGACCTCTGCGGAGCTGGCTTGCGGGTGACCGCTTCTGCCGTGCTGGCGAATAACTTTCCCTCGAGAACATACTCATACTGATCTTTCCTGGGACAATCTACAGTGTGACAGACTCGTCATCTAGTAGCTACGTGCGTCCCATTGCCTTCCGTTCTGCCTTCTGCGTGTAACCAGGTGCGTCCACCGCGTGTCGAGCGCCCAGCACTGTGCTGAACGACAGTGAGCAGTTAGCCAATGTCTTCACACGAGAGAATAGCACCGCCTTCACATGGGGCGCAGAGGGCTATGCTCCCATGCATCGTCCGAGCATGTTCCGCTAGTGCGTCGTTTGTAAGCCCGTGTTGTCCATCCGGGGATGCGTTGGCGCAAAAGTAGACGGGACGGCGTCACGTCGGGGTGCCTTAGCATGTGGATCGTCCTCCATCCCGCCAGCGCTGGGGACACACGCACCGGGGCCGGGCTGCGCGCTCGCCGCCTGACCACAGCTGACCACTTGCTGGCATCCCTTCTATCTTGAGTGCGGGATCACGGGTCCGAATCCCTAGGATCACTGCCACAAAGCAGGACGGCCCATCGTCGGGACAAGCGATACGTCCGCCATCTGACAGAACGAACGTCCACCGCCGCGACTGCATGATAGACGCCACATCGCAGGCCATGAGCTCGCTCCGAGTCAGTGATTACTATACGGCGCCGATGATTGACGGGGATGCAGTCCACCAGCCTCAGAGGCTCGGCGAGTCGCTCCTGGAATGAAGTCCATGGGATGACCATACATTAATCTCAAGAAACATCGACTCACCCGTCACCCTTATGTCCTCGCGAGTGACAGTCGGGAGCTACCACAAGCAACGCCCTGTCCAACCTGCTTAGTGCTTGAAGGTCGCGCGCACCAAAGAGTTCCGCATCTTGCCCTTCCACAGACTGATCACGCAATGGAGAGTATCGTGACAAACAACCATTTAAATTCAAACTACACACATACATGACAGAACAAGTATCCATCAGACGTACGCCCAACTCGCTGGCAAGTCGCCGTCCGGCCCCGAAGGGCACGAACAGGCGACAAACCAAACGTCCTCGCATCGACCGAAGCCGACATGTGCTCTGCATAACGAGCGGGCGCTGTTGTCATCGACTGGACATGAAGGATGTGGCACGAATAAACGTGCGAGACTCGAGTTAGTACCTATAAAATAGATCCTAGCTGAGTATGTTCTAAGGATTCCTCATGTCGAGGTGAGGATCTTATAGGCGTTGAGTTTAGGGCAGGGCGGACATACGAAAATTTGACAAACGGGAACGATCATGTGATGTCTTTGTACACGTCTGTGGCGCGGGCCCCACTACATTGTCCGGACATCGTACATACCCCTAATGATTACGCCTAGTACCAGTTGTGCTGGGGTTCATAGCCGAGCTCCCTACGAGCCTTCTCGATACTGAGCAACGTGTCGTTGGGACCCTTGGTCGGCGTGTAAGGAACGCCCGGGAAACACAACGGTACGATTTCCGAGTTGGGTTTCCGCATGGTCGTGTTCTACAGTATACAGCATCAGCAACTAAGCTCAAACGTAACTTTCAGAGAAAGAGTCAACATACCGAGTTCGCGATGAGATACTGGTGGTGTCCAGTCATCTTTGATTCGAGGCCCTTGCGGATCGCCTGGGCACCGTCGCGAGCGTCAATATACCCGAACAAGCTGCCAGCGCAAGCAAAGTCCCAGCCAAAGTGCCATCTGCAGGTCAGTTCTGCGGTTAACAACTCGGCAGATCCGTGGACACGCACTTCCACTTGCGGAGCTTTGGATCATGCTGCCAACCGTCGAAGTCTTTGAAGTCCTCCAACGCTTGCACGTTGGAGAAACGCAGCGATATGACCTTTGTCGTAGGGTCCCACCGGCAGTATTCCTCTGCTATCACCTGCAGACGCCGTGAGTTCGCGTCCTTGAGGAAGGCGCTGTACAATACCTCTCCGACGAGCTTGCTGAGTGAGTACGCACTCTCCGGACGACGCGGTGAGTTCTCATCAACAGGAATATAATCCGGAACCCAAGGTGCAAACGGGAGGCCGAGGAGCGTCTCCGAGGACGCGAGGACGAGGTTCTTGATACCGAGCTTGCGCGACGCCTCTAGGATATTGTAGGTCCTGTGGAGCGCGCAAGGATGAGCAGGATCGATGTGTACATACTGAGATGAGACGCACGCCATGACGTTCAGCTGGAATTGCGTCGAAGAGGCGGCCATACCGGGGGCGGGCAGAGCTGCGAGATGCACAACAGCGACTGGAGCTTTGTATTTCTAACATAGGCCATCAGTGTGCCGCGACGAAGCATGGCTCTGTCGCAATGCTTACCGTATCAACTTCGATCAGGTTCTCCATGACCTGACCCATGCTCTCGAGGTCAACGTACATGTAGATGACGTCCGGCGGCGCATCCTTGGGCGGAGGCGCGCGGTCCATGTTGATGACCTGCCAGCCATGCTGCTGCAGGTCGACCACGGTGGCGCGACCCAGCTTGCCAGAACCACCAGTGACGACGACGATGGGCTTCTGAGCGGCAGCGTCGAATTCATCCTGAGGTACGCCAAGAGCGCGTGTGGCGGTGAACGAAAGCGGGCGCGACATTGCGACGATAAGCTCAAATTTGTACTAGCGCGTCCGTGGTTGTGCCTGTGGAATCCCGAGGTCGGTGGATAGGCCAAGGTCAGACGTCTGCGGGCACTCGACTGCCGTGGCACATTTGTAGGAGACGGTGCAGAGAGATCGTTCCGTCGGTAGCCCGTGGACGCTAGCGTCGGTCCGGGGTTGTACAATACGACAGTCAGACAGGGACCGCTGAATCCTCAAATGCGAGACGGATTTGAAAGCAGACAGAGCCAGCAGCATCCCATGACCCTTGGGTGGAGGAGGGTGACTCTGTCGCCCGCTTTGAGTTGCGGTTCGCGAAGCGAGCGTGTGAGGACACTGTCTGCGCACCAGGCGGAGTGGGAGCATCTGTAGCAGACTAATTGGAGCGGCGAGGGGCAATGTAGTAGACTGTACTCACTGTACTGAGTAGTAGTAGTACATAGTGGCGGCGACAGGCCAAGTTGCGGCTTGCCTGATCGGGATATCCTACCACTTCGCCGACGTCACAGTGTGCACGATTTCAGTAGTCGTGCACATCCTCGACGCTCGTTGCCCTCCATCTCCGCGTTGAGCCATCCCCTCCTGATGCGTGGGTGCTTGCTGGCCTATCCGCGTGCCGTACATACCGCCAATCTCCGAGTCGGCAATTACTTACAGTCGAGTTGTCGCTTGCCTGCCATAGCATGTGCGCCATCCGTGAGACTTGATCAGGATTTAACCTAGGCTTTCTTCGGCTTTTGGCTGGCGAAGATACGCGCAGGTCAGCCGGGTGAGTACCATTCAACTACGCCGTCTCCCGAGCGGTGAGCATTGTGTGGTTTGGTTAGTCCATTCCTTTGCTCACGACCCATCAGCAACGCATACTACCTGCGGCTCTTAACGTGTACAACGCGACCCATTATCTGCCGGCGTCATGTTTGCGCGAGGCCTTCCCTCCCGGCTCGCCAATTCATCGTTTGAACATCAGTAGGTGTTATTGTCGTGCTAGGCTTCACACGCCCGCTTATCACCTTGCCGTATCCACTTACATACGGGCTACGTGGCGAGTGCCGTCCCGCTGCATTGTTCTTTGTAGTCACATTGAATTCAGGGCCACTCCCGTCTCCACCTGCACCACTATAAGCATACTGCCTGTGCTCGTGGACACTGTCCCATACTATCATCATGTGGCCGTTCTCACAGCACTCGCCCGAACGCGAATATGTCTCGCTCATGTACAAGACGACTGCTTGCTACGCCAGCTGGGACCCTTTGAGGCCTGTACACGTGAGTACGCGTTGTCTATGGTATCTATCGTAGAACTGATCTTTATGGACCGCCTCAGGTAGGCGATTTCGGCCGACTTCAAGACGATGGGTCTTTCGCGCCGCATGGCAACATCTTCGCTGAAGGCCTCGCCGGGAAGTACAAGATCGAGAAGCACACACAAGGACAAGACAAACTCCGCTATGTCGTTTCCAACAACGGCAAAGAGGTCTCTGTGGCACCGGATGTAGATATGTATGTCGTGACATCAGTCCTCAGCGAGCTATTTGCCTCTCATTGATTTCCACCCCTTCAGTTCTCTGGAAAGCATCGTCGAAGGGCACATCAAACACAAAGTTACATTCTCCAAGGGTCGCGGCGCGCTCCTCGCCATGCTGAAACCCCGCCTTACCACTGTAACCTACCCGGGTCGTCTGTCTCGCCTCCTTGCTGACCGCGAGTGGTCGGACTTTGTCCTCGTGTCTGAGGCCTACACGTGCAGATCGTACGCTCGTCTCCTCACCTCTACCTCGTCGAAGGAAGTCACTGTCGGTCTGGGTGCGAGCTTGCCCGTCGCGGCTGCCGCAGGCGTGCCGGTCAACGTGGGCGGAGACATTGACGTCCATTGGCACACGGACGCCCATAGCGGAGACTGGAAGTGTGCCCATCACGAACCCGTAATGCGTCGAGGCGTCTCATCTACTGCGGAGGAAGACAAGCTCAGCAATGAAGAGAACGGGAGTGAGCCTCTTTGCTACCCCCTCTTCAAGCTTGTCGCGATTCGTCGACCCTTCGGCTCCCCTGTTTCTACCGTTCGAGCATTCGACTTTGAGCTCCCAAACGTGGTCCCGCCCTGGATGAAGGATCCGAAAGAGGAGAAAGAAGAGGCCGAGAACAATGATGCGACCATACCGACAAGGGGCGAGGAGGTACCGGAATACTCTTGGAGAGACTTATTCAAGTCTTTGACGTCGTGGATTTGCTCCCAGGTGTCGGCTGTGTGACGGAACACGCATGCCCTACTGATGTGTGAGTCACTCACCCAATGTTGTCCGATTACTTGTGAATTTTCAACCGTCAAGCAGATTGTTCCGATTTGACCGTTGTTCAATGCAAATCGTGTACTTACAGAATCTGCGCATGCCGGGGGCGACACTGCGAGTTCAACTTTCCGGGCGAGTACGACGGCAGCGAGTGCGCGGACGAGCGCGAACGGCTGGAGAGGTTGGGGCGGAAGCTGGGGGACCAGTGGTCGTGGCAGTGGCGGGAGCCGTTTGACGAGCAGTGGGATGCCGCAGAGAGGGCCCTCGAGTGCACGTCGATGGGCAGGAGGCTGGGTGACCACGGCGCGTTCTGGTGTCCACCTGCGTCTGTCGTAGATAATTCCAGCGTTTCGACGCGCTTGAGTAGATGTTAGCGACCTTTGCTGGTTCACGCTGCGTGTGTGGAGACATGGATTCGGAGCGCTGGGAGATCGATCCCTCGCACGCGTCGTCTCTCTCTCACCGCCATGACTAGGGCCACAGAGAAGCGCATCTTCCTCACCCGCCACGCACAGGCAGAACACAAGTAGGCCATCCGTCTTCACGCCCGCGCGGTGCTCATCGAACTCTCCAGCGTAGAGGATGACTACTCCAGTCCGTTGCACCCGAGCCCGCAGTGGCGATATGCTCACGAGCGACATCCACAGTTCACGATGCCCCGCTCACGGCCCTCGGCCGTGAACAAGCGCGAAAGTTGCACGAAGACGTCAAGGACACGATCCAGCAGACGGCAGACCTGTTGGTGACGAGCGGACTGCGCCGTACGATGTCCACTGCGATCATTGGCTACGCCACGCTCAGGACGCGGCTCGAGGCGGAAGGCAAGGCGGTCGTCGTGCTCCCACAGCTGCAGGAGGTGCGTAGCATGGCCCTGTGGCTTGTCGCTACGGTCGCTGAGGGCCTGCCAGTGCAATGAGTTCCCCTGCGACAGAGGCTCGGTGAGTGCTTAGCAGACGGTGTCCCGCGCGTCACCGACAACGGCGACAGTCGAAAGAAGTGCTGGAGGCGGACGCGGAGTTTGCGGGACTGGACCTGGGCAACCTGACGCCGGACTGGAACTCGAAGAAGGGGTTCTACGCGAGCGACAGCAAGGCCCTCAAAGCACGCGCACAGTGGAATCGCCAGTGGCTGCGTGCGCGCCCGGAGCGGGACATCGTGGTCGTCGCGCACGGGGACTGCCTGCGGTACATCACGGACGGGGAGAACTCGCTGAAGCCGTGGGCGAACTGCGAGGTGCGCGAGTACACGTTCGCGGTGGACGCGGAGGAGGACGAGGCGGGCGTGGCGTGGCTGGTGCTGGTGCAGAAGGTTGCGCAGGAGGGCGCCGACGAGCCCACCTCCTCTGCCCGTGCGTAGACACGGAGATGTAGAAGACTGTAGACATTGTATGTGTAGAGTAGAATGATATGTTATTCTGTATGTTGCAGACGGCCGTCACGTGGCAGTGTCTGCATTATACATGGGCGGCTGCGATGCCCCGTCTCGCAACGACGGCGGACACGCTGCGCTCGACGGTGCCGACGACCTCCCGCCGCCGCTGGATGCAGCCTCCTCGCCCGCCCCCCGCCGCCGCACGCTGGACGCCCTCCCACTCCCTGTGCGACCACCATGCAGAGACCCGCCCGCCAAGACACCTTTGACCTCCGCGATCAGATTATCCCCGACGACCACAACAGCCAGATGATGGACCACGCCTATCCCTCCGACGAGGAGCACTCCGTCCTCGAGGACGACTCCGACACCGACGACCGCGGCTTCATGGACGACGAAGACGACGACGGCTCCTCGTCTCTCTCCATTCCCAATGAGTCCATCGACTTTGACTTGGTCTATGCCTTGCACTCATTCGCCGCCACCGTCGAGGGCCAGGCCAACGTCGTCAAGGGCGACAGCCTCTTCCTCATGGACGACAGCAACAGCTACTGGTGGCTCGTCAGGGTCCTCAAGACCCAGGAGGTCGGCTATATCCCTGCAGAAAACATCGAGACTCCCTTCGAGCGGCTCGCCCGCCTCAACAAGCACCGCAATGTGGATGTGCGTGTCTATCAATTCCAGTTCCTCCATCGTCTACTCACACGCATTGCAGCTGGCATCCGCGACCCACGCCGAGCTCGAGGAAACACGCGACCGCCTCCTCGAGAATGTCTCTCGTGGCGCTGCATCCCCGTCGCCTACCCCCGCCGGTGCACGCAGCTCTCGCCATGCCAGAGGCGTTGCGTTCACGGCCGCCTTCTCCGTACATCGCTATCCGCCGGCCGTCTGGGGAGACGAGGAGGACGAAGAGGAGGACATCGAATGGGACGACGAAGGCTACGAGGACGAAGACCCCGAGTTGGCCGAGGAGCAGGAGGAACGCGAACGCGCCGTCATGGCAGCGAGCAGTGGTCCGCGCGGTATGCCGCCCATGGAGCCGGACGACGGCATGAGCTGGGAGGATGGCGCTGTCGAACAAATGCAAGCTAGGGAGCGGGAGGCTGCCGCTGCAGCAGAAGCCGAACGCTTGCGCCAGCAGCAACAGCAGGAGCAGGAGCTGCGAGAACAGCAACAACACGCCGCCCAGTCACTCCGCAAGCAGCCGTCTCGCGAGCAGATGCAGCTCCAGTCCGGTGGTGTAGAGGTCATACCAAACTCGCCAACGAAGCCGATGGATCCGGCGCATGTCACGGAGACCCGCAAGCTCACCATGACGCCGCCCGTTGCGCGTGTCGACGACGTCCGCATGGGCCAGGATGAGCGCAAGCGTACGCGCGAGGAAGAAGAGGAGGCTGCGCGCAAGAAGTCCAATTCCGTGGACGCTGAGCGCGCCAAAGCGGGGCTTGGCCCCAGCGCAGGCGTGCGCCCCCCGGCAGGCGGTGGCAAGCTGCGCAAGGAGCGCGACTCAACCGACGACGAGAGCGTACGGGAAAAGGACAAGAAGAAAAAGAGCGGAGGCATGTTCGGCGGGATCTTCGGCCGCAAGAAAGACAAGGACAAGGGGAAAGACAAAGGCGTGGACAGCAGCAGCGTTGCCAGCGCAGGCAGCGACAGGGACCTCAGTCGCGAGTCAGAGGAGTCTGGCAAGTCGTCCAAAGATCCCCATTCCGCTGCGACGCCCGAGCCGTCGTCGCCAGTCACAGCTATGGCAAGACAACAGCAGCAGCAGGGTGGCTACAGGGCGTCTCCTGTCGGACAACCAGCCCAGCTGCCTCCTCAGCAGGGCCCACAGACTCCACCGCAAGCCGCGATGGCGAGCATCTCACAGCATGCTTCACAACTGCGACAGCGCGACCAGCAGCAGCAGGCGCTATATCAGCAGTACCTCAATCGTTCGCCATCCACGCCCCCCGAGGCTCAGCCATCGTACGGCTTGCAGTCCGCGTCTGCGGTCCTCCAGGGATCAGCGTCATTCGCCTCCTCTACCAGTTCTGCCTCCGGACTTACGGTGGGCGCCCCTCGCCCGCGGCCCGGATCCCTGGTACTGTCTCCTAGCGGCGGTATGGACGGTCTGCTTCCCGATCTCAGCGTCGTCCGCGTGTTTGCCGGAAGTCATCTGCAGACGGAGGCTACGTTCAAGACGGTTCTACTCAACGCATCCACAACCGCCCAGGACCTCGTACGCCAATCTATACAGCGCTTCCGGTTGCCGGCGGGCGAGGACGAGAAGGACTACTACCTCACGATCAAGCAAGTGGAAGGATCGTCCGCAGACTTGCTCCCTCATGAGAGGCCCCTTGGCGTCTTCGAATCACTCGTTGAGGCGGCCTTGGAGCTCCCGAAGGTGAAAAGGAGCAGCGTTGGTAGTATCAGTTCGGTCGCTAGCAATCTGTCGATGCACCCCGCCATCAAGAAGCTGTCCATGAACGACTTCACCGATGATTCTGCGGTGAAGTTTTATCTCAACCGCAAGGGAGGCGAGCACGACCAGAGCATGGAAGGGGAAGGCGATGAGACGTTACTCGCCGAGAGCGTACAGGGAGAAGATCCTGAGTCCCCCAGAACGAAATCACAGTACCTCACGGTTACCACCACCAGTCCGACGAACGTTGTCACGGCGGAACGATTCAGCTCACCGTCATATAGGTTCCCCTTGCAACTGGTGATTTATCCGGACGATCTCCCTGATGACATGGTGTTCGACCCACAAACAGAGGCTATCGTCTTCAAAAACACTCTACGTGATCGTCCTCAGGTAGCACCGTCTCCAGGAGTCCCGCAGAATATGCGCAAGAAAGTGTTCGTGCTCCCAAGGAACGTCACTGTCGCAGAAGTTATCGAGATTGGGTTAGAGCGCTTCGGTATACTGGAAGGCGTCGTCGATGGCGGTGACGAGATTGAGGACAAAGCGACCAAGCGCAGAAGTTCGTCGCGGGTTCGCTACGGCTTGAATGTCGACGTGGGTGGCAAAGGTACAGTAGTCCTCTCGCTGCAAGATGCGAATCGTATTGCTGACATGAGCGCTGCAGAACGCGAGTTGCCCCCGTCAAGTAAGGTCATCGACTCCTTCCCGCGTCCACCGACGTATCGTGCTATGCAGTTCAGTAAGCGCCGCTCTGTGGACTCTGCACAACTCCTTGGAAACCCCGACGACGTCTCGCCAGATGATCCTATCTTTGTTTTGCGCCGTGCGGTAGCGTACCGCGCAACGTCTCGCCACAGACTGTCTGCTCCTTTGGACGAAATCGCTCTCCAACGCATGCAGCGAAACTCTGCAGCGAGCTCAAGTGCAGGGTCAGATTCCACAGTAGGCCCAGCTGAAGACACCAAGTCACAGACCTCACAGACGTCGAAACAGGCTATCATTGCAGCCCAACGCGCTGCTACACGTGCCAGCCAGCGTGCAACCTTGTCAGCCCAGGCGAACGAGGCACGAGGTTTGGATGTTGCGCTTCCTGGCGGAGCTATGGTCCGCAGTCTGCGAGGCGAAGTTGACAACAGGATGCGCTACTCCTATGTCGAGCCTGATGGTGAGACATACGACATCAGCAATATCGTTGAGGAGGAGTGGAGAGGCGAGGTAGGACCGTCTACGAGGACTGACACCACAGCAGATGATCTGTTGCATGGTGTCCTCGCCCGGGGCAAGGATGGGCTCGGAGCGAAGCTTGACCGCGTCTTGAGCAAGATCAAACACGAGAAAGACGCTGCTCGCGTAGCGATCTCGCAAATGGGCTCAGACACACGGGCGGATTCTCGTGGTGCTGCCAGGTCTCAGTCGCCGTCGCCGTACTCCACGGCAGATGGACGGTCATCTTCGCGGGCGGCGACGGCCACACCGACTGCGAGTGGGAGGGCTTCCGCAGGTCAACGTGTCCCATCGTCTATGTCGCGAATGTCGAGCTACAGAACGGCCAGTCCTGGTGAGTCTTCGGACAGCCACGGCAAGAGGAGTGTCACCCCCAATGCGAACCAACGGCGGCCTCTACTCCACGAGCGGCAAGGTTCCGCTCTCTCGGAGGCATCAGCATATCGAACGGCGACACCTACCTCGCCTCCTGTGGCTTCTGCTGGTCGATACCAAACGCCTATGCCGACCCCGCGCCTTGTGCTGCCCAAGGACGACTTCGGGCTCTCGCAGATGATGGCCGTCATCGAGCTCAGAGCATCTCAGCAGAACAAGCTGCCAGAGCTTACCCCGCAGGATCGGGTCGACGAACTGCTCTTCGGCAAGCATCATGATGTGAACGCCTTGCATAGAGATATTCGAGATATCTATTCGAGCACCTTCCAGCAATTGGAAGAGATGGATCAAGTACGTAGTTGCATTCTCTGCGAGAACTAACGTACTGATTTGAGTGACGTAGACTCTTGAGCAACTACTCCATCTTGCTCTACCTACTCATAGATAGTCGTGGCACATGTGCTGATCCACCGCTCTCGTCCTTCCTTGTTTCATCTCCCCTTGTCATTTGTTTTAACAGTATTTATTCTACCTTAGGCTGTACGCTCTCATCATAGTTGTTCGCATCTGGTTGACTAGAACAACGATACCCGAACGTCCTTCGTTTGACCCAGTATCCTACTGAAAGTCGATATATCAGTCTTCATGCAGTGATGCGCGATGTCCTGCCTGAACTGTCTGCTTCGGCAATGGCGAGGCGTTACATCCATATGACAACCCTCGATCGAGACGTACATCCACTGACCAACTGCACCAAAGTCCGCAGCGATAACTACATTTGCCTCGACGGATGGTACATACTGACCAACGAATCCGACACTGCAATTGAAGCCTGTCGCAACCTACACCGACGTTCCCTCGCATGCGGAAGCCTCGTAGAGCGGCTCCTCAGGGGACGCCACGGAAAGCGAGTGCTTTGCGCTGGCCTACGGGAGTGGCCATCAAACGACTGCGATGTTCTATTGCTGAGTGGGTTCAGATCCATGCAATATGAGCGACGACGTACACTCACTGTGGCTTTCAAGTCGACTGCTCGCTCATCGCGACATCCATCTCATTGATGCTCGCGTCGCCCGCGCCATGAGAAGGGGCGAACACGTCGGCACCCGCAGCCAATGAGTCGATTAGAAGCGCGAGTCGAGGAGTGGACAAGTTGGCTTCCTGGAGGGTGGTTGCGTCAGCTGCGACATGTCGGCGGACGGAGGACGAGCACACCTTGCGAATCTCCCCCAGATCCTCGCTGAAGGCATCTGCGACGGAGGCCATCCAGAACTTTCTGAAGCGTTGCCTGAGTATTTGCTCGTCTTGTGCGTTCCCCGGGAAGGGAGCTACGGGATGAGGCTCTGGCGTGGGCGATCGGCGAGATGCAGGCGGAGGCGGGGGACTTTGCTGGGTGCGCTGCTGGGTGCGCCGAGGAGGCAGAGACTCGTCCTCCGAGGACGACGACGAGTCCGTGTCCGACGACGAAGACGCAGCAGCGGGGACAGGCGCACGAGCGGCCGCGATGTCTGAAGAGTCCGAGTCCGAGTCTGCGCCAGACGACGACGAGCTTGAGGCTGCGCGTCGTTTGCGCTTTCGCGTGCGCTTCCTCGTCGGCGGCGGTCTCTGCGGCGGCGGGGCCAGCGGCGGGGCCATGGTGGTTGTTCGTGACCGTCCTCGCTGTCCTCGCCGCCGCGAGCGATGTTGAGGCGGCACGTGAGGCCGAAAAACAACTGAGCGGGCGCCTAGGCGATGTTTGGGACCGCTGCCTGCTTGTCCTCGTCCTCGCTGTGTTTGTCGTCGCGCTCATCACCGACAACGATGGACAAGGTTGTTGGTATCCTAGGTGCGGTGCGTTGCTTTCGTTTGCTATGTCCCCCGCTTCTTCAGCCAGCAATACTCACCATACGCTCCTTCAGTCCTTTTCTCGTCCCAGCAAGACAATAATGCTCATCCACGCTTGTCCACCTGCCAGGCGGCGGACAGCTCGGGCGCATGCTCGCGCAAGCGGCGTCGCTGCTCAACGTCAACGTCGTTATACTCGATGTCGGAGACCACGCACCTGCGAAGCAGGTTGTCTCTCCCCGATCTGCCGACCTCGCCCACATAAACGGCTCGTTCACCGACCCTGCCAAAATCCGCGAGCTGGCTGCCAAGGTCGATGTGCTTACTGTCGAGATCGAACACGTCGACGTCGGCGTACTGCAAAGCGTAGAAGGCTCGGTCCCTCTCGGAGTTCATCCCAGCCCTACCACTATCCGTGTCATTCAAGACAAACTCGTTCAGAAGCAGCATCTTGCAGCCCATGGCTGTCCGGTCTCGACCTTCGTCCAAGTCGACTCAAACGCCGCATCTGTCACCTCGATCGCTGAACAGCTTGGGTTACCCCTTATGTTGAAGAGTCGAACGCTCGCGTACGACGGTAGGGGCAACTACGTACTGCGCACTCTGACCGACATACCAGAGGCGATCGCAGCTTTGGGAGGGCGGCCGCTTTACGCAGAAAAATGGGTTCCCTTTGTCAAGGAGATTGCGGTCATGGTCGTCAGATCTGCCTCCGGGGAAGTTGCTTCGTACCCCGTCGTCGAGACAATCCACAAGGACAACGTCTGTCATTTGGTCTTCGCACCTCTGCGCAGCAATGATGCCATGCTCGCCAAGCGTGCCCGCGAGGTCGCAGAGGCCTCAGTCAAGACGTTGGAGGGAGCTGGCGTGTTTGGCGTGGAGTTGTTCCTAATGGAGAACGGTGCGCTGAACGTGCCAAGTTAGGGATGAATGCTGAGTTCACCACAGGTTTGATCTTCGTGAATGAGATTGCCCCTCGACCGCACAATTCCGGACATTACACCATCGAAGCGTGCGAGACGTCTCAGTACGAGAATCATCTCCGTGCCATCCTGTCCCTTCCTCTCGGATCTACCGCTCTCAAGGTCCCGTCTGCAGCCATGGTGAACGTGCTCGGAGCATCCAACAATATGGACGAAGTTACCGCCGTTGCGAGGCATGCCCTGACTATACCTGGTGCCGCGGTTCATTTGTACGGCAAATCCGAGTGCCGCAAGGGCCGCAAGATGGGCCATATCACCGTAGTCGCTCCCTCCGACGCGGAACGCAGTCGGCGAATCCGACCCTTGTTGGAACGCCTCCCTTCTCCCAGCGACGTTGTGGAGCTGGACTTCTACGCTCCCCTCGCGCCGGAAGCCGGCTCTGGTTTCCCGTACCGTCAGCCGTTGGTGGGCATCATCATGGGTTCGGACTCGGACTTGCCCGTGATGCTCCCGTCCGCTAGGATTCTCGATCATTTTGGTATTCCTTACGAGCTCACGATTGTGTCTGCTCACCGCACGCCCGACCGTATGACTGATTATGCACGGTCTGCCGCCTCTAGAGGTCTTCTAGTCATCATAGCAGGAGCCGGAGGGGCAGCGCACTTACCAGGGATGGTCGCTGCAATGACGAGTTTGCCGGTGATTGGTGTTCCGGTCAAGGGCAGCTCCCTGGATGGTGTTGATTCCCTGCATAGCATTGTGCAGATGCCGGTAAGTCCAGCTCTGTGGCCTCAGTTGCAAGCTCGCCGTTCATGCAGCTCTTCCAGAGAGGTATTCCTGTTGCAACAGTAGCCATCAACAATGCTAGCAATGCAGGCTTGCTGGCTGTCAGAATATTGGCAACTGGTACTCCTGAGATACTCCACAAGATGGATGGCTATCTCAAGGATCAAGCAGATGAAGTAATAGGGAAGGTTCAGAAGCTAGAAGAGATAGGATGGGAGAAGTACCTCAGGAGATGACATTATGTGATAATAATGCATGACAATCTGATACATCTCACATGTGTACCTCCTAGATGTTGTGAGGCACATCTTTCAACCAGGTCAAGATGATCATAATGCACCAGGGAAATCATGTATCCTTCAACTGATGACATACAAATAGTGCATCCCTGACTCCTGAAGCCCCAAGACACCTGGGTAGAGAAGCTGCTTGTAACAGCACAAGCACTGATCCCTGACTCCATCAGAACTTTGGGGAAACCACTGGCGGCCACTGACGTCACTGAAGTAGCTATATCAGCAAATTTCAGTAACGTCAGTGCAGCTCAGCGGTATTCAGCAGGGCCGCATGCAAGTCAGCACAACACGGAGTGTGCTGCACCGTGCACACGGCTGGCGGAGAGCAAGACATGGCAGAGGGCACAGATGGCAGACATAATCATTGTAATCGTGATGGAGAGAGGAGGAGAACATTTACTTACTTGCTGGGGAGCGGGCCATGTCTGGCAATACGATCCCTTCAGTTTGAAATCTCAGAGCAAGCAGGCAACATGTCTAGTACTGTCACATCTGTAACACTACCTCCTCAGCTCCAGACATTCAATCTTACATATCTCCCACTCTGGATTTTGACTTGTGCATGCCTTGATAACCCCACTATTCTTCTTCATGACCTTCACAATGATTGAACTTACATATCCAGGCTTCCCTACAGACATGGTACTGTTGGAGTCTGGGTTATAGTTAGTGTAATACTTACTTCAAGGTAACCAGTTACTTGAAGTTGAGCAATAGAGTAGAGGGTGTCTCCTTCGTTACAGAGGAATAGTAACGAAGTTGAATGGTTGAATGAATAGATTACCGAAGTATTCAATACTCGGTAATTTGGAAGGAAGCGTCGGTAATGCTTAAGTCCAGAAGAGCAGTTACTGAAGTGTTGGCAATAAAAGGATTACCGAGAAGCGATGTTAGAATGTCAATCAGTATGATGAACCTTCTCCAATGAACCCGACTCTTGTAGTCAGTTGAAGTTACTTAGACCTTACTAGTAGCGCGAGGACTGTACTAAGTAAGGTCTCACAATCACAGGTCTTAGAGCGCGTCGGTAAGAACTCAGTGAGAGTGGTCGAGTGGCTAGTGTGGCTAACTTAGCACTCGGGGCAAAGCAAGTCTTCGTGTGGCACATAAGGTGAATTTTGGTAAAGAGTGTAGATGAATTGCCACAGTCTTTCGTCTCGTCTTATATACATTTCCGAGTCCTCAATCCTGTGTACTATAAGCAGTTCAAGGCTATCCTATGTACGGTACTTGAGACGCGTCAAATTCCACAGCCTAAGTCCTCACCGAGCTAAGTCCAAAGTGTCAGCCCTGCCATCCTCGGTGATCCTTCGGTGTTCCCATTACCGATGGTCAATAGATCCTCGGGAACTCGGTCCTTCCTTCCGTCGGTATTGAGGTCCAAAAATGGTCATTGGCAAACTCCGTCAATAGCCGGATATTACCGAAGTATGTTTGTTTGTTTGTAAATCCCGTTTATTGTCGCGTTAGGGCGAAGCCCTATGTAGACATGGGCTATTGGGGTACTGTACTAGTAAGGTGGATCAGAACGTAGGGTCGACTGGAACATTGAACCGAAGTATGTGATGATCCTATTGTCGGTCAACTCATTGTGCTTACCTAATGAAGGACCCTTCAATGGCGGAGTTTATGACAATAGCTTGTGAGTCGAGGCATATAAGGCAGACTTGGGATTTGGAGATATTCCCATAACATATCCCCCCTTGCCTCGAATCACTAGCTTGTGATCTTAGTTATCCGACTTCGGCAATGGTCGGCAAACTCTCTCTCGGCGACTCCCTCAGTCTTCAAGAAGCTGGTATGATCGGGCTTCCCGACTATGTCCCTTATCACGTGGATGCCGACATACTTGAAGGCCTCAATACCACCTTCCAGTCTCTTGTCAACAGCCCCTTCAATTGGTACGCTATTGGCAACATAGTGTTCCATATCTTGTCGGTAAGTTCCATTGCCGACTTGGATAATCTTTAACCTTGTTAACCTGAGATCCAATTTGTCCTAGGCAAATACTTGGACCTTGGGTTAAATCATCAACCTGAGGTTAGCCTGGCCGAGTGGTTGGCCGCTAAACCCAACCTGGAGTGTTTTCCTCGCGCTTGGTGCGATTCGGACAAGGATTGCTTGGTTGGCAATCTTGATGACCTTATCGACAATGAAGCCGAGGAAGACGACACGGATATGCAAGTGGACAAGGATGAAGATGTCAAGGGTTTCGACGATCATGGCGAAGATGTTCATTCGGAATCGGATATCCTGATCGAAGGATCCATCGGTAATGAACACTGAACTTTGGATTACCAAGGGCATTTCTTCATGAACAGCAAAAGGTACCCCAAATTGGTAAGTCTCATGATCGCCTTTGTTTTAAAACGTCTCATTGATATCCCTTCTTAGTACTCGGACAATAATTGTTGTAGCCAATGCAAGAAGCATGGTTTTACCGAATGTCTTTGGCAATTCACTACAGCTGCCTGTATGAATTGCCGAGATCGCAAGGTCAAGTGCAATTTGTCCAGTGGCAAACCAGGAGTGTGATATAGAAGTATTGCCAAGGTGTTTGATCAAGTAGGTTTTGACTTGGAGACCGGTCAATTCAGTGAGTTTGTTTTCCTTGTTTACCGAGTTCGTTGTTTTACTGATTTTTCACTTCAGAAACTCCTCCCTCGGCAATTCCAAGTACCCCAGCATCGACGACCTCAGTATTGCCGCCACCTTCAACCGCTACTCAAGCTTCGCATTTGTCGTGTCAAAGTAAGTCCGTTTTTATACTTTGTCAGTCATCTTCTGACTTCTCCAAAGGTATGCCGAGCCGCGACGCAGTGGCTGATGAAGACATGCCTCAAGCATTGAGCATGCTTTGTTGGCAAGTCACTGGACAGCTTGAGGTGTCTGGTAGCGGGGCTTCAGGTAGCCAGGCTGGTCCTGGGCCTTCTACTGAGCGAAACCTGAACCTTCAAATCCTCAGGGTTCTTGACCAAATGGATCTGCGCCTTCAGCGCCTGGAGGCCGCGGGTACTCAACCTGCAAGACACGTTCAGAAGGGAAAGAAATCGAAGGGGAAAGGAAAAGGCAAGGAGCGTGCTCGTGACAACATGGACGAATACGAGTAGATCTAGTTCTTGTAGTGATCAATTGTCTTGTAGTTGGTAATGGTACCTTTCTTGATCTCATGTATACTCGGTCGATAGCGCTTGACAGACCATTTCTTGATAGTCAAATGAATTCGACGTATAAGATGCGTGAATAGAATACCGACGACCGATACAATGAGCTCGAGATATAAGTACAGATGATCGCTCTGGCACGTCATTATCGAGCGGATTACCGAGGCATTACTGACGACTTTCTTGAGACTAGTTAGTGTTGTGAATCCCCCTTTGTACTCCCCCCTTATCTACAAGAACAAGATCACCTCCATCAGAATTGCCAGTATTGCCATCAGCCGCCCAGGACTTGTTGGTAATACTGTTGCCGACATCGGTAATATTCTCGTCGCTGCCAAAAATGTCTTGTTTGAGCTGTGACCAAGTGAAACGACAAGGACTGTCTGGATGGTACTCCGAGTCTGGCGACAGAATAACTGTGGGGCCATTTGGCGAATTACTCCCCCCACTCTCACTGTCCCTCTCCGAAGGGTTGAATGGAGCACAGCTGGTGTCCTCATGAGGATTACCGCAGCAAGAGCAGCATCCTCCGCGAAGACGACCGTGACCTGGAGGCATGATAGCTGTGTCCGTGGGGGCTTTGGCATTCCTGGGGCTCAGGATTACCGAGCGCTCAGTATTAAAACGACTCGGGTGGAGGATAACGTGCCCTGAATTAGAGTCGAGCTGAAGACGTGAACCACTAGGATCGTAGTGTCCTGGCCACCCGATGCTACGCAGGTACTTCAGGAGTGGGCAATCGATTCTGGGCATGCCAGTAAGCCCCGTGCGGATTTGGTAAACTCCTCGAACGAACTCTCCAGCCCAGCGTATAGCCTGACTCCCGGCGGCTTGCAATCCCTGGAACACGGCCATAGCGTCGTCGACCGTTGGGAAGCAGCAATTCAAAGGGTTGAATGCCTCATGCAGTGGGTTACACAACCAAGTGGGTGGCGGACGAATACCGACAGCTTGAGCAGCATCGGCAATAGCGTCGTTAACGCCGAGCTGGGTGTGAATGATCTGGAGGGCTGTCCAGAGCATGCGCGAAATATCCTCTTGCAGGATGACGTAGTGAGGAGGATTGGGACGGACAAGGAAAATGTTGAAAGTGGGACGCCAGGTGAGAATATTCCCGACAAACATCCCGAAGGGCTGCTCAGGACGAGTGAGCTTGGCAACGGGATTACCGGGGCCTTTGAGGACAGGGGATTCCGGCAATCCCGACAGGTGGATGCGAGGCGTCTGGATGCAGGATACGACAGCCATGGTAATAAACAGAGAGTTAAATGGGTGTGGCGAGTGTTTGAGATGAGTTGGAACTTGGTGAGGGAATCAAAGCAAGTTGAGGTGTCCTTTTATATGATTACCAATGACCATTACCGAGAGAGTTCCGGTGAGTTCGACGACCAGAAAGCCTTTGTTCGACAAATACAGTGGGCCACACAACCTCTGGAGTTACACAATGCAAACTTCGGCAAGTCGAGCCGTGACCTGTTTCTTGGGTTTGGATTGTTGCCACTCCTTCATAATGAAAGGTGCATTGGTCAAGTCCTTTGCCGTAAGCCATTCATCGTAAGAGGCATCATAGCCGATCCAACGAACCTTGAATTCTTTGCGCGATCTACCATTGCGAGTTGTCTTGGATCGCTCGGCGAGAATTCATTCGACTTTGTATTCCGGTAATGCTTCAAAATCCGCTCGGGAAAGATTTCGATGAGGTAGATTGCCAAATTCTTGCGGGGAAGCATTATAGCTTTCAAGGTGCATGATGTTAATTACCGGATGAATGCCGTAGGACGCCAGTAGGCGTATCTGGTAAGCGACTGATGAAACTTTGTGTATGACTTCAAACGGTCCGTCATATTTCATGAGTAGCTTTCTACTGCGTCCTTTCTCACTTCATAAGAGCTGAAGTGAATCGACATCTAATACTACTTGATCACCTTCCTTAAACTCGGTTACTAGTTGTCCCTTATTATAAGCTTGTCGTTGATGCATTTGCCCTAGTAGCAGAGCTTCTTGAGCCTCTTGTCGATTGGCTTCAAAAGCTTGTACTAGGGACGAAGCTTCGGGATGACTAGCATCCTCAATTGTCCTCGGTAAACTGTTTGCCGAGTGAATTAAGGTGCTACCGGTGACCGGATGGTATCCCTGGAGTAGAAACGCTGGTGCAAATCCAGTTGCAGTATGCAGGTTTGTGTTGTAAGACAATTGCAATGCCGATAGGTGGTCGGTCCAATCATCTCGCTCAGGACCGATGTAGGCTTGCATTGAAATTTCCAAAGTCTGATTCAAAATCTCGGTTTGTCCGTCAGACTGAGGATGATAGGCCGTAGTCAATGCGCGCCTTGTGCCCAGTAACCTGCATACTTCTTTCCAGAATTTGCCCTTCCAACGTATATCTCGGTCGGAAATGATTTGCCGAGGAATGCCATACTCCTTGAGGACGTGATTGAAGAGTAATTGTGCTGTACCTTTCTTGGTAATAGTCGTGGTAGTAGGAATGAATATTCCGTACTTAGTGAGCTTATCCACGACTACTAGGATATTGTTACATCCATTAGAATCCGGCAGTTCTGGAATGAAGTCCATACTAATGACTTCAAACGGTTGAGTAGGAACTGGGATAGGTTGCAACAATCCCACAGGAGCGTGCCTTCTGGGCTTAGCTTTCTGGCAAATATCACAAGTGATGACATACTGCTTGATGTCTCTCAACATACGAGGCCAATAGTATGTGCTAGCGATGCGGTTATAGCACTTGTGATATCCACTGTGAGCTCCTTCCAAGATTGTATCATGGCATTCCTTCATGATCTCTACTTGGCAATCCTCAGGTACACATAACCAAGAATTACCGAGGTTGTCTTCAAAGTACAGCAGACCGTTATCCTTGAGTCGGTAATTAGGATAGTCTGAGAGACTCCAATCAGTAATGCTACCAAGATGTTCCTTGATTTCCTTGAGATGCTTGTCCTTCTCAAGTGCACCCTTCCAACTGTAGAGTTCTTCGGGAGAAAGGCTAACCAATACCGAATAACTCTTAGAGGTTGGGATATCAGTGGAACAGCCATTGTCGGTAATGCCGACGTTCAATACGGTTGCTTCAACTGCTTCCTCCTCCTCAAACAGAGTCTCGGTAAACCAACTCGCTGTAGTAAGTAGTCACTCTTCAAATTTCTTGCTGAGCTCGGTAAACATATTGCTTAATGGATCCTCTAGTTCTTGAGAAAGCCAAAGGGCTTCTGAACTGTCTTGAGAGGGCCCATTTGGAATGGTACTCGCCGGCACAACCGTGAAATGGGGTCAACATTAGAATGAACTCTTCCTGCCTGGTGAACAATTTGTAGGCCGGGATAGGCTGCAAAAACTGTTCCCCAGGTAAGAAGATGTCGATTAACATTCTGAAATGTCCTACTCCAAGTCAAGGCCGCGTGGTCGGTAATTGCTAGCACTTCCGCCCCTTCCAGGTAGGACTGATATTTAATAAGTCCTTCCTTCAGAGCAAGTGCTTCACATTCTGTTGGCAAATAATTCCGCTCAGCTGCCTTGAGAATCCTAGACCAATAAGCAATAACTCGTTCAATGTGCACAGTAGTATTCTCAAAATCCTTATCCCACTCACCTTTGGGCGGTATGTCATGAACATCCGAGTTCACCGATATTACAAGGCTGGGTATGGGTTCACCCTTCTTGAAAGCCTTGTGTAGTCGCTTGTATACCTTAGTACCCTTCAGATCTCTGATCTTGACGGGTTGAACCTGTTGAAGGATAGCGGCTAGTCCGTAGTCGCAGGCGTTGGTATACAATCGGTAAGGTTTACCGGGAATAGCGTAAGCTCTGACTGGTGTGTTAATCAGGACCTGCTTGCACAGGTTGAAGGCTTCCTGTTGTTCCTCGTTCCATTCCCAGCCATTACCATCCTTCTTGAGCAACTTGAAAAGTGGAGCGGCAATCCAGGCGTAAAATGGAACATACGCAGAGAAGTATACCATCATTCCTAAAAATGTTTGTAATTCCTTGACGTTTCTAGGCTCAGTAAGACTGACAATGGCGTCCACCTTCTCCTTATGCGTAGAGATGCCTAGTCAGGAAACCTTCTGTCCGAGTAATAGCAGTGACCGGTAGGCCAAATGACACTTGCTCGGCGATAAAGTAATACCAGAGGTCCGTACCGCATTGAATACCGAGTCTAGATGACCGAGATGTTCTTCAAACGTAGTCAAATATACGATGATGTTGTCGATGTACACCAATGCAAAAATCCACAAGAAAGGAGCGAGGATATTTTGCATAACACATTGAAAGACACTTGGACCGTTCCTAAACCAAAAAGGCATTCTCTTGAATTGATGAAGACCTCGGTGAGTCCTGAATGCCTTCTTCTCCTTATCTCCCTCAGCCATTTATAACTGAGTGAAACCAGAGAGAGCGTCCAGTGTTGAAAGCCATTGTGCACCAGTGAGAGCCTGAAGAATATCCTCCTGCTTCGGCAATGGAAATTCATCAGGAACAACCTGCTCATTTAATTTCCGAAAGTCAATGACCATGTGTGGTTTGGCATTTCGGTAAAATATGAAAGCAGGGGCGCCCCACGGACTCTTAGAAGCCTTAATAACACCGAGCTGTAACCAAGAAACCATTTGCTTGTCAATGACTTCTCGCTTTGCCGGTGATGAAGGGAAGGGCAATAATGAAATTGGAGTTGCTCTGGGTTTGAGAGGAACCTCAACCTTAGCATCATAATGACCTAGTCGTCAGTTGAGACTAAAGGCCATTTTATGCTTAAGTACTACAGCTTCTAATTGCCGACGCTGTTCGGTTGAGATGTGAGTACTCAGGTCCATTTCCTTGATCAAATCCGATTCATTAATCGCCTCTTCAGGTACTTCAGCCGTCTTGGGACCTCCTTCCAATGGTTCCGTTGAAGAAGGATCTTCCTCAGTATCCTTACCGCGACTAGTTACCAGTTGATTGACCTTACTAGTAACGGTCTGTGCTTCTTGAGCAGCGCTAACCGTTCATAGTAGTTGGGAGTATACATCGGCTTGATTTTGTTGCTCGTCGGTAAATTCGGTAATGTCATGGAACCATTTCCGAGGATCATGCGCTTTTCCAAGAACATGTCCTGCAGGAATTACCACTGGCTGTTTCCTGAAATTAGTGACATGAAGGTAGGGCTGGTCTTTAGAGATCAGCAAGTCAGGCTGAGAGAATATATTGTCGACATTCTTGTGCGATTGGAAATGTCGCTTGACAAATAAACATTCTCTGTCCTTCCAAGGACCGTTGACCTCTACCTTCTTGGAGCTTTTGGCGGGGATGACTGTAAGCTTCAAAGAGCGAACCCAAGGGTCGTTCATTCTTTTCTTAGCAATCTGGCTCCGGTGTCGTTGTACATGCCAAAGTCATTTCCTTTGCCAAACGTCACTAGAACCAATTATTACCTTGAACGCATGTCCTTCATCATCAACAAAGGAGCTGGTTAAGGAATTATTGGTTTCAAGACTGATGCATGAACTACCGAATTGAACGAAACTCTTCCTGTCGTTCCTCAAGATTGAAAGCAAGTACTGATTGGCAAAGTCATTACCGAGAATGAAAGGAGTAGTCATTCCTTTAACGACGTAAGCTTCTACTGGAACCTTCAGTTTACCATTAGGTGTATTGAACGTTAGATCCATGGGAGCATATCCTGAGATCTTAGCCTTGCTGGTAACTTGAACTAAATTGATTTTCTGTCCAGTTTTCAGCTTAGGAGGGACCTTCATAGCTTCGAGGGTCTTTGCCGAAACAAGTGTAATATCTGATCCTGAGTCCACGACAATCTCCACCATCTCTGGTTCTTGAGGACCGAGGAATGCCGACAGTTTAGTTGCCGAGGAACCTAAGAATGAGCTTCCCGGAGGACGGGCTAACTCTTTCTTTAATTCCAAAACCTTTCCGCTGTTGTTCTCCTCATTCGGTAATGGATGAGTGGTCTTCCATTGCCGAGCCATCTGTCGACGGCCTTTCCTATTAATTCCAGAGAAAATATTATTTGTGTGAGCTTTGTTCACCGAGACGTGTTTTACCGTTGCCATGATGGATTCTCCCTCCAGGGCCGACTCTACTCCATCCTTAGTCTGCTCAGGCTCGAGCGCGACTTCAGATGGTTCGGTAGTCTGAAGGGATTTATGAAAATCCTGCTCATCCTCCCTATCGAGTCCGTAGTAGGTGTCTTCATAATCACATTCGTCCTCAAGCTCATCTTCGTTCAAGAGAGC